GTTCAAGTCCCCCCCCCGGGCATACAGATGATGAAATGTAGTTTGGCAGATCATAACTCTAAAGCTGTGATTTATGTACTTGTGTCAAGGGTCAGGATATAAGGATGGGGATTGTGCCATGATGTCCACATCTGTTTCATTTAGAAGTAATCTCAGTTTGCTGCTAACACTTGTGGTTCAATCTAGGGACCTCTAACACTGCATATATCCTTTTTTTACCTGTGTGTGTATGTAATTTTATTCTCTTAAAGCATTCTCTTGGTGATCATTGTTTTAATAGTATGGATATTCAGGGAGTGATATTTTTACTTTTATTTTTAGTGTGTGTGTGTGTGTTTTAAGACACACACACACACACACACACACCTATAATAAAGGTAAAAAAGGATATATGCAGTGTTATCTTCATTTTAGATATCAAAAGGGTTTTGCGGCTCCCGGTGTTTTGTTTTTGGTGGGAAACGGGTCCAAGTGGCTCTTTGAGTGTTTTGGGTTGCCTACCCATGGTATAGGTGTATCCTTCGAAACAATTGCAAGATGGGCCCAGAGATTTGCCAGATGGGAACGTGAGTGGCATTATAAGTAGTTGGTACCTGCTGCCTATCTATTCAGTAGGTGTACTTTGAGAACGTACAGTACCGTTGATATTGTTTCTTCAGAGTTCATCCAAGGAAGAAAGAACAGTGCTGTCAGATCACCTTCCACATTTCAGTGTCCTAGCTGCTCTCTTTCTTATCAGAACCTGGCAGTTTTTGGGCCTCCCTGTTGCAGATGCAGTGTGTCTAACAATGGAGGAACCAGAAGCTGTAAACTATAAGTGTGAGATGAAGGTTGCGGGAGCTGTGTCTCTATGCCAGAGTCTAGCAACAGGTTGAAAAAGCAAGTGACTGCATAAATTTTTGTTTAAAAGTTCTCGTTCTGAAAAGGAGGAAGCCTGGGTAATTGGATTCCACTTCTGATCTCGTTGAACAAGGCAAGCATCTATCTTTTGCCCGCCCCTCCCCCAGCCATATCTGACTGCTTCTAATTCCTGTTTTTTTACAGATATATTTATTTATTGTGATTTTGTGCCATCTGGTGGGTGTCTTTGGAGAGAGGGGACAATTCTCCTAATTATATCCCCGAAACAACAATTCTCTAAGGTAGAGTGGATTGAAAAAGATGGATGAGACCAATGTTGCCCATTAAACTCCATTAGTTACGGAGAACATGAGCCTGGATCTCTATGCTCCAGGCCCAACACTTTTACTGAGGTTATAAGGAGTCCTCAACTTACGACCATTCATTTAACAAACATTCAAAATGACAACAGCACTGAAAAAGTCATAGCGTCCCCATGGTCACATGGTGAAAAATCTGGCACTTGGCAGCTAGCAAGTATTTATGATAGTGTCTCAGGATCACATGATTTTCAATCTTGCCTTTCCAACAAGCAAAAGTCAATGGGGGGAAGCCTGATTTGCTTAACAACCGAGTCATTTGCTTAACAACTATGGGAAAATAGGTACTAAAATCAGGTGCAACTCACTTAACTGCATCACTTAGTGATAGAACTTTGGGTCCCAATTTTAGTTGTAAGTTGAGGATCACCTGTATATTGATTTATGAGATGTACCTGCCCCCTCAGTCCAAACCAACAATGAGTTGGATTAGTTCCATCTGTTTCTCTGGAACTATTTTTCCATCTTTTTATCACCAGCAAACCCCTCCTAGAAAACCAGGGAGGTGATTTCAAGTGATTTATTAAACCTGGAGTGGCTGGCTTGAAGGAGTCGTGCCCATTTGTCTGGCTACATGTTCTTTTTGCTAGCTCTGAGGCAAGGTGGCGTCGCTCCTTTCCCATTGCTGAGTGAAAGAATAAGGGCAGATGGGGGAGTGGTCCAGAGAGGAGAAGGGGCACAGGGAACACCCTGAACACGGCCTGCTCAAACCAATAGTGGTGCAACCTGGACATTTATAGCGGCGACGCATTCAAAGTTCTGAAGATTCCATAGCCCTTACATGGTATTTCTTTCAGAAGAAAGCATTCCCCTAGCTGGCAGTCTATCCATAATCCCCGGAAGACAAAAATGCCCCGGATAAATCTTTTGACCCAGTACTCCGTGCAGATGGCTATCATCAGCAGGCAAGTAGCTACACAAGAGAAGAAGATCCCACCCAGACGGACCCAGTCATGGGCCTTCAAATTCTTGAACCACACAATGATGGGCCACTTGAAAAGGGACTCCTTGTAGCGGTCCATAATGGTGGGTCAATGGAAACAGCGAGACCAAAGGCGCTTCCTTCCGAACCTCGGGGGGGGGGATACGTCTTTGTGGATGAACCGTATAACACCCACAACCGCACCGGAGTGACTGTGTCTTTTAGATTACAAAGTTTTCATCAGAAGCTTTCTTGAGACATGTATAGTAGCAAAGCAGGAGAAGGTTTCCATGGTAACCCCAGTGTTCTGGAAGTTCTGAAGAAGCTCAGTTAGCATGCTCCTTCCATTGGACATCAGCCCGGCGTGGGCATCCATGGCTCCAGCTGTTTTGCCACAATGACAGCCCTGTTGCCCTATGGCTTTGCAAACTGACTCCTTTGGGATGTGTGTGCAGTGTAAAGATGCACCATGGTGGTGGGTTTTCCCCACATGCAGTGCTTCTCTTGTCAGATGGATTTGTTCGATCCTTCCTGTGGGCACTATGGAAGCCCACTAAGGCAGTGGTTCTCAACCTTTTTAATGCCGTGACCCCCAACTGGTCGTAAGTCGAGGACTACCCAACCGGTCGTAAGTCGAGGACTACCCAACTGGTCGTAAGTCAAGGACTTTCCCTGCCCAGGAGCGCCGCACATGGGTGGTGCCGCCCTCTGCGCCGGCCGAGGCGTAGCTGGCAAGCAGCAGAGACGGCGCAGGCCGACCACCGGCTAGGCCACCAGCTGCCCCAGCCCAAGGGAGGTAAGGCACCCACTGGGCCTCACACGCAGCAGCAACCCTTCCTGCGCCCGCCGGCCTCCCACCTCCCACCCCTGGCCCTCTTTTACTTACATTTTTAGTAGTTGCTCAGCAGGGAGGGGTGGAAACTTCCAGACAGCTCGCCTTCGCTGCAGACAACTTGCAGCACCGTTTGCAGAATGGGACTTTTGGCGGGCTCAGCAGGGCAGAGACAGCCTGGACAATTCCTATTGGCTTTGGAAAGCCAATAGAATTAGACTCTGTTCAAGAGAGTCTATTCTATTGACTTTCAAAAGCCAATAGAATAAAGAGTAGCACAGCTAAGGAAAAGGGGAAAAAATGGCGGACTGCATTGTTTGGCGACCCCCGTAAAATGGTCGTTCAACCCCAAATGGGTCCTGACCCACAGGTTGAGAATCGCTGCACTAAAGTGACTACAAAACTCTGCAACTCCAGATTAGCATAAAAGAGAGTATGCGGACTCTGTAAACCACTTAGAGAGGGCTATAAAGCGGTATATAACTGGTATATAAGTCTAAGCCTGGAGGAGCATTGTTCATGGGGTTGTGATGGGTCAGACGGGACTTCGCAATTAACAAGTCTAAGGTGCTATTGCTATTTCTTCTCCAGCCCAGTGCATTTTTGTGTAATGGGCTGATTGCTTTATTACTTGCATACAGATCTTCTTTGCGCTGGTAATGATTAAATCAGAAAAAAAGCTTCTGGTATTCCTATCTTTGCTTAAAAGGAAATCTCACACAATTCATTGTTGCTTACTCCCATGGACTCATAAGTGGAATTCTAAGCCTCTAAGGGTAACTCTTCCATAGTTTATCTTATTGCATACTAATTGTTGCAATGGGTTGTCCAACAGGTAAAAATAAAAGGCAGAACTTGTACAGAGGCATTATTTAATTCAAGATACCAGAACAACATCTAAAAGTCAGTCTTAGGCAACCTGAACATGGCTATTGTATTCATTAAAAAAAAACAACATAAATCAGAATACTTTGAAATGGAATAGTTTGCAAATGAAGTGATTGGATACTTCTTGAAAAGTGAGTGAGCAGAGGATGGTAATTCCAGAAGAAAAGGACTAGTAATCCAGCTTTTGTAATACTAAAGAGGATTCACAAGGTATTAAAAGCAATGTTTCTTAATGTTAACAACTTCTAAGACATGGATTTCAACTCCCAGAATTCCCTAGAAGATAGATAGAGTCTCGCCACCCTGTTAAGTTTTAGAAGGACAAAATATTTTCCTTTGAGTTATGGTATTAATAACTCTCTCCCCTAAAAGTAACCTAATTTGCATTTGAGTGACTACTGTGGATTATACTTTGGGAACCAGTATTCTAGGTTCTACCTAAGAACCTGAGCATTTTTCTAAAATATTGTCTATCTTTGGGATGTTTTTTGAATCACAATTCAGCAAAACAAACAACGATAAAGAAAGGTTTTACAGAAGCTGTTGTCCAGGGGCACAATCCTAAAAACAGAATACAAAACCTTTAGAAAATGGCAAAGTAATAATACAACATAAGGAAAGGGGGTTGAGAATTGTAGCTTTTTTAAAAAGATGAAGATCAGGAGAAATAAATCCTTTCAGATTAACAGAGCCTAGCGCAGTGATGGCAAACCTTTTAGAGACCGAGTGCCCAAACTGCAACCCAAAACCCACTTATTTATCGCCAGGTGCCAGGTGGGCATGGCCCACTGGGTGGGCGTGGCTATGGTGGTCATGGCAGACTGGGTGGGTGTGGCCAAGGTGGGCGTGATCACCTCGATGTTGCTCATGGGGAGGGACGTATGTGGGGGCCAGGCAGGGTTGGGGGAGATCAAGGGGGTCTCTGGGGGATGGGACGGTGGGCAGGAGGTTTGTCCTGTGGGGTGAGGCAAGGTGAGGCAGGGCGGGGGTGCCATTGTCGCAGGGCAAGGCGAGGCACGGGCCGGGGCAGCTGCTGCCTGACACCCTCGCCCCCCACACACAGAGGCCAGCGAGCACATGGGTGCTGGGATGCATCCAGCCATGTGTGACCTCGGCGAGTTAGCAGGCAACTGATTGAAGAGGGACAGTTGCCATCTCCAGGGCATGGTGCATGTGCCCACAGAGAGGGCTCTGAGTGCCGCCTCTGGCACGCGTGCCACAGGTTCGCCACCACTGGCCTAGCGGATCTCTTAAAAACCACTGGAAATTTTGCCACTTGAAATCATAATTTTGCCAACACATCTTACTTGGCAAGCAAACTAATTATAAAAATTACTTCTAGTCACCCACAAGATAATTGTTTTGGAAAGTGAGCAAAAACAAAACAAAACAGTACAGCTGAGCAGTGCACTGGAGATGGGGAGATGCATTGGTCCAGAAGAAGTAGGGATGAGGCACCTTCTTGTTAAGAAAAAAGCTTCTGTACAATTGTGCTTGCTCTTTTGTTGACCGGGACTTTCATATCCTTTCATAGCTAGCAGATGGAGCGTTCAAGGAGGCAACGTGGTTGAAAGCGCCTGCAAGGTGAGAGAACAAGAGCAAGTAAAGGACCAAGAAGGTGAGCTTGAGGTGCTAAAACCAATCTTAGATTGCTCAGGCGTAATTGTTTATGAACAACTGTTCGTCTAAGGCTGTGTTGGGTTGAGCATGTGCAAAAATAACCAGGTATCTTATAAATATATTATTCTTCCTTTCCACTGAATGCAAAAAGGGTTTTTTTTAAAAAAATAAAAATGGCTGGAGAGTGCCATTTCTTTCTGAAGAGAAATGCTTCTGGTCTTATGTAAATGCTCTAGTCCAGGGGTAGGCAACCTTGCCTCTTTTATGACTCATGGACTTCAACTCCCAGAATTCCTGAGCCAGCGTGGCTCAGCATGGAAACCTCTCCCTTTCGCCTCATCATGGCTGGCTCAGGAATTCTGGGAGTTGAAGTCCACCAGTCATAAAAGAGCCAAGGTTGCCTACCCCTGCCCAAATGCCTGCATTTTGATCATGTGACTGTGAGGAAAAATATTTAAATATTTAAACCAGGGGTCTTAAAACTTGGCTCTTTTATGACTCGTGGACTTCAACTCCCAGAATTCCTGAGCCAGCATGGCTCAGCATGGAAACCTCTCCCTTTCCCCTCAGCATGGCTGGCTCAGGAATTCTGGGAGTTGAAGTCCACGAGTCATAAAAGAGCCAAGGTTGCCTACCCCTGCTTAGTCTCTTGATTATGTGCTTTTCTAAGGCAGGAATCCATTGGATTAATGGAAAGGGGCATTTTCTATGCGAGCTCAAACCAACTAAATGTTTAAAAATATCCTCTGTTCCCTGTATTTGTTCTATAATACAGGGGTCCCCAACCCTCAAGCGGCAGATCAGTACTGATCTGCGACCTGTTAGGAAATGGGCCACAGAAGTGAAGAAAGTTGCATCTGCCTGTGTACAGGATCTAGGTAGCACACAAAACCATCCCCCTCCACCCTCACCAAGTCCGTAGAAAAATGATCTTTTCCGGAAGCCAGTCCCTGGTGTGAAAAAGGTTGGGGACTGCTGCGATAATATATTGCTTTTTTTTAAAAAAAAATCTTTGGATTATTTTATGACTCTGAATATTATCATCTGTGAACCGTCCAGAATTGTTGGAGGTTGGATAGTATAATAACATAGACTAGTGCTTCTCAAATGTGGCTGTAATGTATTGAGGTGAATTACTTGTAAATGTCAAAAAATGGTCATAAGACTCTGTCAGTTAAGAGCCAGACTTTCTGTCTACATGCTAATTACTTGTGTTAAAGGTGGGAACTAATACTTGAATCCTATTGGCCGCCATCTAGTTGCTGAGTGTATAAATAGGGGTGGAGCGGCAGTTATTCAGGCTTCTGTTTAATCCTTAAATAAAGAGTTGTTTGTTCACCTGCTGCCTCGTCGATGCCTCGCCGAGCACCAAACATAACAGTGGCCGCTTTTAAGTTGTGTGGGCTTCAACAACCAGAATTCCCCACCCATCAGGCTGGGAAGGGAAGCCCAGGCCTCTTAAAATTGGTCAGACTTGAGAAGCACCAGTCTATGGATTAAAGTGTCAGAGTTTCAGAAACGCTGCTGTAGACTCACCAGCCAAGAGAAACAGGGGGAAAGCAATCCATCCAGAGTAGAAAGACCATGCAAAGGAGACCTGGATTTGAGATGGTGGCTTCTCCTTCCATGTTTCGGCTGTATACACAGTGAGGGCTATTAGAGTAAAGAGTCCTTTCAAAAAGCAGAGAGAAGATCAGTGCTGGTTAACGCAGCTCTGTGCAGATTCACCCATGAAATTTTTACTCCCTCTTTGGTTTGCACATAGGGTACATTGTGCAGGAAATGTTTGCTCCTGTGAATGCAAACTGTTTTAAGGCCCTGAATTCACACCTTGGCTGCATTCACATGTCACCCTTAGCCTGACTCAACCCATTTCCTGAGTTTGCATACACCGCTGAATCATGGACTAACCCAGTGGGCTGCAAATATAACTACTGCTGAGTTTATACAACATGCTAAGCCATAGAAAACCGAGTTTTCAACTAAGTAAGCCTAGAAAGTTGTGCAGATGCATTTCTAGCCCTTCCCTGATTAAATGTATTATATGAACGTAACCGTGGGATTGTAATCACCATTCTCTGAAAGCTCTTTTGTATGTCTGCTTTCATTTTCAGCGCCTGAAGATTTTTGAAAGGGATAAATCATGTTTGTGAAACCAGTTTCACCTTCATCAGGTAAATATCCTAAAGGAGATACAAGTAGTTCTTGATTTACGACCATTCTTTAATGACTGTTCAAAGTTACAGCGGCTTTGAAAAAAAAGCAACCTCGGTCCTCACACAACCATTGCAGTGTCCCCATTGTCACATGATCACAATTTAGGCACTTGGCAAGTGGCATTTATTTACGATGGTTGTGGCATCCTGGGGGGGTGTCACATGATCACCATCTGAGAGCTTCCCAGCCAGGGTCCAACAAGCAAAGTCAATTTGGCGGTGGGGGAGCTGAATTCACTTAACAATCATATGATTTGATTAATAATCATGGCAAAAAGCCATGACTCAATCACTGCATCAGTTAATCCCAAATGTGGCCGTAAGTCAAGGACTACCTATATCAGGCAAAGATTCTTTATTTCCTGTGGCCCTTTCCCTTTTGGGATCTACAACAGATATTCTTTGTTTGCTCACTTTGGACAGCAGTTTGGTCTGATGGATTAAGGCAAGGGTCCCCAACCTATGGGCTGTGGCCTACTGGCCATCGGGCCACAGGATAGGCGGGCTAGTGCATGCACATTCACCCCCACTCGCACTAGCCCCTGTGGACCTAGTTGCATATGTGCACAAGGCTAACAGCATGGCTAGTGCTTGTGCACCACGCAAACAGTGCCACTATCATGCATGCAGGTTGTGCAGCCCATTTGTTCATGTGCGCGGGGCTAGAGGCATCAGCTAACACATGTGCACCTAGTGCTGTACGGGTTGCGTGGCCCATTTGCACATGCACACAGGTGGTAGCAGCTGCGGCGGCTACTAGCGCTTGTGCAAATAGCATTAGCGCCACGCAGGTGGGTGCGGCCCTGTTTGCATGCGTGTGTGCGTGCGCATAGAAGTTTCCCAGCTGTTCCCTTTCCCTCCGGGCCACCAGAATGAAAAGGTTGGTGACCTCTGAATTAAGGGAAAACATTTTCCAGAGAGGTCATTCTCTGGAAAACCTTAGCAGGTGAAGTCCACCAAACCTGTTATTAACATCCTCTAGGAGTTAGCTAGTGTTTGGAGGTTTTCTCTTAAGTTGCAGCTTTCCAGAATTGCTTCTGGCTGTTTCGTATTTGGGGCCATGTTACCAACTGAGCACTGATTGTTTGAGAAGACAGTTGAAGCCTCATGGAAAAACCTTTGAACTTCCCCAGATTCCCACCTCCCCCCAGGAGGAGATATCTTGCATTCTCTTTGAGATCACCCTCCCCATGACTGGAGACTTCTCTTCATCTTTGGTAACACCTACCGGCCACATAGGCAGCCACGGAAGCAACCAAAGGCTTTCCCAGGATGCCAAACATGGAAGGCGCGAAGGTGGCAATCAGAAAGAAGTGTAATGCCAGAGCTGTCAGGGAAGCCAAAATCAGAAACGCACGGGTAGCTGTGATGTAGCCTGCAAGCAAAGTTGTAGATGCAGAAGGTTATGTCTATTTTTAATCCTTATTGCAGTAATACTTGTTTTGTTTGCTTACTAGATTTTTATCATGCCTTTATTACTTTATTAGTAACTCAAGGTGGTGACCATGCATAATACGCCTTCCCCCTTCGATTTCCCCCACAACAACAATCTTGGAAGGTAGGTTTGGTTGAGAGAGAGAGTGATTGACCCAAAGTCACCTTGCCAGCTTTTATCCCTAATGTGGGACTAGATATTAGTGCAATGTTAGAGGCAACGCAATGGTGAATAGAATGCGAAGGATGTGTGTATATAATGTATGTTCTTATTTGTGGTTTTTACTTATGTGTAGTGTGCACTTAATTTCACTGTGGGTTACACAATGACAATAAAGATTCTATCCTATTGAACTCATTGTCTCCCGGTTTCTAGGCCTACACCTTAACGCCAAACTGCCTTTCAATATATCAGAGCATCCTCACTCTTTGTTCAGAAAACTTTCTAACTATCCTCCAGAAAGGGAGCCGTCAACATGGGCACGTGGCCTTATCGCTTTGCCACTAGAGTACTGCCGTACACTCCATGTGGGCCTGAGTTTGAAGACTGGTAACCCAAAAACAAGAGTTGCTGGCCACATGACCATAGAATTGTCTTTGGACAACGCTGGCTCTGTTGGCTAAGAAACAGAGATGAACAATGCGCCCCAGAGTCAGACATGACTGGACAGGAGATTACCAGGATTACCAGGAGATTTCTCATTGCAGTTCAAGAGTGCTGGTTCTGGTCTATAAAATTCTATATGGTTTGTTTATTTATTTATTTATTTATGAGACTTATATACCACTTTAAGTGCAAGCACTCTCTAAGCGGTGTACACCAGTAAGCAATGTATATATATATTTACATTGCCCCCAACAATCTGGGTCCTCATTTTACCTACCCCGGAAGGATGGAAGGCTAAGTCAACCTTGAGCTGGTGAGATTTGAACCACTGACCTGCTGAACACAGTCAGCTAAAGTGGCCTGCAGTACTGCACTCTGACTGCTGCGCCACCTCGACTTGGTGCCTAGGACTCTCTTCTCCCACCTGATTTGGCTTGACCATACTACATTCTTCCTGCAGGAAGCCTTGGGTTATACCTATTTCTGCCAAATAGGAGAACAGTAGCCAGAAGGCGGTATTTTTCAGCCTGGCCTTATGGACTAGCCTTTCTTAGAAGTAAGACTTTCCTTAAGTCCATTCCTTCTAACGTTCCAGAAGTCTCTCCCCATTGCTGTTTTCAGTGTTAGTGCATTTTTCTAATCCTGATTAGAAATTGTTTCTATTTTTCATTCACCATGGATGTTTTAATTTTGTTTATGTTTGTAGTGTTGAGAGTTTTGTAAATCACTTCGAATCTGCCATTAATCTGGCAGTATATGAATGCAATCAGTACAAGAACATGAAGCTAGGCTGTCTGCCCTGCCGAATGTTATCGGCATCCTTGCTATTTTTGAAATCGGGGTGTGTTTTAAGATGCAATGAATTGTGGCTTTCCATAAAGTGATGTTTTCACTTATTTGTGGAGGAGAAGCAAAGTAAAAATGTCTTACATAAGGGATACATTATTTCATGCACGCAATGATGTAGGACAGTGTTTCCCAAACTTGACAATTTTAAGGCATGTGGACTTTAACTCCCAGAATTCCACAGCCAGCAATGCTGGCTGTGGAATTCTGGGAGTTGAAGTCCACATGCCTTAAAATTGTCAACTTTGGGAAACACTGATGTAGGAGATGACCAGGTTGAGCCCGAGAGACGGAGTCAAACGCGTCATCAGTCATGAGTCCCTTCACACCCACAAGAGATCTAAGTTTAGTCCACCTTGAATTTCTTCTACCCTTATCCATGACCAATTTCCTTTGGCTGTTAGTAGTTCAGGTTTTTGTAATTAAACTTGCCATAAATCTTTATATCCATTTGAACTTCCTGGATCTCTTGATTTCCCTGGCTCTGACAAATACACAATACACACAGTTGCTGATGCCTCTTATTGGGAATACTTAGAAAAAAAATGGAAGGCCTTCCTGCCATAAATCTTACCAACGGGCTCCTTTACAGTTTCGCATTGGCTTTTGAATGCTCCAAGGTTCATGCAGAACTGCCACAGCCCACTGTGGGCTGTCCCAGCAGGACCAAAAGATACTATCCAGTAATCAGTGCTGAGCGCCATCAAAAGTAAGCTGATGCTCAAGAATGCCATAAGCATGCTGAAGATACGGCCGCAAAACATCCTGATGCAGGGACAAAAGCGTTTCAACCGTCACTTTTCTTGGTATTCAACTTTTACAAACCCTAGAAGAAAAACAGATTAAAGGGAGACAATTGATCCCCAGGGGATGAAATGGAACAGCATCAGAAGAACTGTATGAGTGTGTTTGTGTGCGTGTTTCACTCTTTATTGGTCTGTTGGTGTAGGAGAGAGTGGTGAAGTCATTGAAGTGAGCAGGAGCCAGGAAATTCTTGAGCGTTTTGTTTTGCCCTGGCGGCACAGTGGTTAAAGTGCAATAAGGCAGGCAAACTCTGCCCACAGGCTGGAGTTTGACCCTGACAGGCCTCAAGGTTGACTCAGCCTTCCATTCTTCCATCCTGGGTAAAATGAGGATCCAGATTGTTGGGGCAATATGCAATTGTAAACTTCCCAGAAAGTGCTGTAAAGTGCTACAGGGTGGTATATAAACTATTACACTTGCTGTTTGATTTTAGAGACACATTCAAACAATTTCTACTACTAGATCCAGAGGAGGCTAGTTACAACCCTCAAACAGTCCCAAGATTGGCTGAGTTTAAATTCCTGCCTTGGTTAGCCTAATTATATTCTAAACAGTTTACCAGGAAGTTGATTGCCCCTTTCCCCTTGAAAGATAGAAATAGAAACAAATGCCTATAAAGAAAAAAAAAAAAAAAAGACAGCTTCCCTCCAAAAATAGCAGAAAAAGTTTGAGTGGGTGAAGCCTTTCAAATTCTGATTATGGCGGCATCATTTCTGATCACATCACTAGAATGTCATGCAAGCTGACTCATTATTGGAAGAGAGAGAGAGAGAGAGAGAGAGAGAGGGAGAGAAGGAGGGAGGGAGAGAGAGAGGAGGGAGAGAAAGAGAGAGAAAGAGAAAGAGGGAGAGAAAGAGAGGGAGAGAGAGGAAAGAGAGGAAAGAGAGAGAGGGAGAGGAAAGAGAGAGAGCGAGAAGGGAGAGAGAGAGGGGGAGGGAGGGAGGGAGAGAAAGAGAGAGGAAAGAGAGGGAGAGAAGGAGGGAGGGAGAGAGGGAGGGGGGAGTGAGAGAAAGAGAGAGAGGGAGAGAAAGAGAGAGAGGGAGAGATAGGAAAGAGAGAGAGAAAGAGAGAGAGAAAGAGAGAGAGGGAAAGGAAAGAGAGAGAGAAAGACAGGGAGAGGAGAGAGGAGGGGAGGGAGAGAAAGAGGAAAGAGAGAAAGAGAGAGAGAAAGAGAGAAGGAGGGAGGGAGAGAGAGAAAGAAAAAGAGAGAGAGATATAGGAAAGAGAGAGAAAGAAAGAGGGAGAGGAAAGAGAGAGAGAAAGAGAGAGAGGAGAGAGAGAGAGGAGGGGGGGAGAGAAAGAGAGGAAAGAGAGAGAGAGAGAGAGAGAAGGAGGGAGAGAGAGAGAAAGAGAGAGAGATAGGAAAGAGAGAGAGAAAGAGGAAGAGGAAAGAGAGAGAGAGAGAAAGAGAGAAAGAGAAAGAGAGAGAGAAGGAGGGAGAGAGAGAGAAAGAGAGAGAGATAGGAAAGAGAGAGAGAAAGAGGAAGAGGAAAGAGAGAGAGAGAGAAAGAGAGAAAGAGAAAGAGAGAGAGAAGGAGGGAGAGAGAGAGAAAGAAAGAGAGAGAGGGGAAAGAGAGAGAGAGGAGAGAGAGCGAGCGAGAGAGAGAGATTGTACTCCCTTATCCCTCAGTTGTACTTTGCATGGTGAAACAATGAAAAAGAGGTCATACAGCTGAAAATCCACTATTTTGCTTGCAAATCCAATTGCAAATCCAACAGGCTTGAGCCAATACTGTTTTGGGAGCTATAAAAAAAGTGAACAGAATTTCCACCCTGCATTTGGAGACTGCATGAAATGGGGAGGAGGGAGAGGAAGTTCAGACAGTATGAGTGTCAGAATCCAATTATATTTCATCTCTAATTATCAACTATAAAAAAAACCCATTTCTGCCTTCTATGGATTCTGTCATACAATGAAGGGAAGGGGGTGAACAAAGGGACTTTATGGCCCTCACTTCCTTCAGTACACTTCAAAGGGACTGGATGTGGATAGCACCAAAAGGACTAACCATAACAATGGGGCTATTACCTTTCATGTACTCCTGTCTGAAGTCTCCATCCAGCCGGCAGTAAGGAAAAGGGGGTGGGAATGTAATGCCTGAGACTGTCACTGGAAGAAGGGGGTGATTGGGTGGGGCTACTGGGGAACCCCTTAAAACCTTGAATGGGAGAGCTTGGACCCCAAGTCCTGTCTAGAACGCCTGCAACCATTTTCTCTTAATAAAGGATGCCTGTTGGAAGAATTATTCCAAGAGTTCTGTCTTCTTAAGATGCAAAGTGGGGTGGGTCCTTACATTTATAAGGCTGATTGACATCTTTCTTCCATTTTCATTTTTTTTATAAAAAAAAAAAAAAAAAAGGTGCCGGAACTCACACACGTCATACAACTCGCTTTGCCTACCCTACAAGGTTCCATCCCAAAAAGGTGGCGGAACTCTGTTCTGGGCGTTCTATAAGAAAAAAAGCCCTGTACAAGAGTACACTCCAGAAGACAGGCTTAAGATACAGGAGGACCTGGACAGACTTGAACACTGGGCTCTATCTAACGAAATGGAATTTAATGGTGAAAAAAGTAAGGTTCTACATTTAGGCAAGAAAAACCAAATGTACAGGTATAGTATAGGGGGTACCTTGCTCAATAGTAGTAACTGTGAGAGGGACCTCGGAGTCCTAGTGGACAATCACTTAAATATGAGCCAGCCGTGTGCTGCAGCTGCCAAAAAAGCCAACACAGTGCTGGGCTGCATTAACAGACGGATAGAATCCAGATCACATGAAGTATTAATACCACTTTACAAGGCCTTGGTAAGGCCACACTTGGAATACTGCATCCAGTTTTGGTCAACACAATGTAAAAAAGATGCTGAGACTCTGGAAAGAGTACAGAGAAGAGCAACAAAGATGATTAGGGGACTGGAGGCTAAAACATATAAGGAACGGTTGCTGGAATTGGGTATGTCTAGTTTAACGAAGAGAAGGACGAGGGGGGACACAATAGCAGTGTTCCAATATCTCAGGGACTGCCACAAAGAAGAGGGAGTCAAGCTATTCTCCAAGGCGCCTGAAGGCAGGACAAGAAGCAATAAATGGAAACAAATCAAGGAGAGAAGCAACCTAGAACCAAGGAGAAACTTCCTGACAGTTAGAACTATTAACCAGTGGAACAACCTGCCTCCAGAAGCGGTGAACGCTCCAACACTGGAGGTTTTTAAGAAGAGACTGGCCAGCCATTTGTCTGAAATGGTGTAGGGTTCCTGCCTGAGCAGGGGGTTGGACTTGATGACCTCCAAGGTCCCTTCCAACTTTATTATTATTATTATTATCTCTTTTTCCTTCCCTGGATGCCCCATTGTGTTTCTTCCAGATAGGACAGGAATAGGACCCTTGGAAACAATAGTTTCCTCTTAATTTATAACCAGAATAACAGAATTGGAAGGGACCTTTGGAGGTCTTCCAGTCCAACCTTAATAATAATTCCTCTTTTCTTTCCCAGTACGGTATTTGACACAATGATAGGGAAGAGAATTCTACTTCCCCAGGAAGCCTATTATAGAAGTGCCCCCTTTCAGGAGAGTTTCAGAAAGATCAGCAGCTGCAAAGCATAAAGGCAACAATTAACATTCTTGCTCCAAAAGGTAGTGAGATGTGGGTTAAATTTAGTGGTCACCTGCAGCCTTTTGCAGAGTCATCCATAGACTTCACTTCGAGCCACTTCCTGCACCCTTTTTACACACTCAAAGGTCTCGGTAACCTCAGCAAAAGCTGAGAACTTGAACGTGTGGGTTTAGAAGAAGGGAAGGGCCGGGCTTTCTTCCGAAACCCCTCTTTATTTTTTTCAAGACAGATAATGATCTATAGCAGGGTTTCTTTAACTTTTTGTCCTCATTAATTTTGGAATGGGAGCAATCATCTTGCCCTAGATTTTAATTATTTCAGCTCGTTACTTCGGCCGCAATCAAGGAAGTGGACCAGTGATTTGGATGTGATCCTTGACACGTTGCGCTGTGTTATCGATTTATATCTTACGCTCCCAGGGAGGAAAGAGAAGAAACAGGAAGGACGGTTGCAATAACTTTTTGAGGTCCTTTCTCCCACATTCCATCAACCCTCAGCAGACCGAGATGCAGAGCTAATGAACGATGGAAACTGTATCTTTAGCTCCGTGTGAGAAATACTAACTTGAAGGATCCCCAACGAGAGGCGGATTTCCTCCTTTGTAAGGAGCTTAAATGAAGACTCCATGAGAATTTGGTTTTGTGTGGCTTGTTCCTGGAGTCATCACAGCATCACAGAATAGGCTCCTGTTTCCAAGGGGAGACCCATCCTCCAAAAATATAAAACCACTGAAAAAGATCTGATCATAGGACCACGTGTGCCACATAGGTGGAGTATTATAGCTCCTAGAATACTGTCAAAGAGAAGTTTCTCCTGACTGCTACTTGCCCTCTGCAGTTGAGATGAATGTGTTAGAGTTGGGCAGAATTATTTGTTAGTAACTCTCAAGGTTCAAATTATTCCCTTGTGCTCGGAGATTTTTAGATGAAGGGAAATATGATTATTGGATTTAAATATTGTTGTTAAAGGATAAAAAATAAGGGATTAATTGGCTTAATATTTAGGATTTAGATTGATAAGGAAAATGAAAACTATTAGGAATTACCTTCAAACTATTGTTTAGCCCAGATAATGTAGATGATGGACTTGAGACAATAAAGGACACTCTATTAGTAAGTGATGATGTATTAGGATGAGAAATAGAAAATATTTTTGAAATAAGATAAGGATATATTTAAGTAAGTAATATGTGTATTTTAGATACGATAACTTTTATGTAGTGAAATAAAGGAAATTTGGATTACCCGAAACTTAAATACTATGGACATTAAAGGTTAAATTGGAATATTGTAATTAAAAATTAGGTAAAATTAAAAACAGGACACGGATATGTATAAGCAAATATATATATTGATAAATGTTTTAACTAAGTTTGTTATAATTGGAAATTTACTAGCCTAAATCTGATATAGCAAATGTTAAGGGAAATAGAGAAGGAATTTTTGATGATGTAACCTGAAATATGTACTAAAGATTTTGTTATTGAACCACTGATTACCCAGTCACCATGCTGCTTTCCAAATACTTAAATGTAAAACTGGAAAACCAATAAAATTTGTTTAAAAAATAATATTCCCTTGTGCTCAGGGTTTTTTTTTCTAGGCCTCCTCTGAAAAAGCGAGAGGAAACCAGGGGTATTTCCATCCTTACCTGAATCTTCTTGTAGAATGGTTCTTTTCTGGGACGATGACCTGAAGAATCTGAGGGAGAATTAAAGGATGAAGGGAGAAGGTTTGGAAAGAGGACAGCGTCCCTCCAAATGCTGTAGGTGTAAAGGTTGAAGAGCCAGGAAAGCTGAGGTATGGGCCTGTCTGAATGCTTCTCTCAACGATCTTAAAGCTCACCTCTATCTTTTTCTATCTTCGCCCACCCACTTCCTTTCCTTTGTTCACACTTCTGTTCAGGTCTGGTTCTCTTCTTCACACTTTGCTTCTGAGTTAATGATGTGTTTGCGGCTGCACTCATTTTCATTCCCGTCTCTCTTTTAATCTGAAACCATCTTGGCATGAATTGCCTCTTGAGAACCTGTCCAGTCTGACAAATGGCTGTCCGGTCTCTTCTTAAAAACCTCCAGTGTTGGAGCATTCACCGCTTCTGGAGGCAGGTTGTTCCACTGGTTAATTGTTCTAACTGTCAGGAAGTTTCTCCTTAGTTCTAGGTTGCTTCTCTCCTTGATCAGTTTCCATCTGTTGCTTCTTGTCCTGATTTCAAGTGCTTTGGAGAATAGCTTGACTCCCTCTTCTTTGTGGCAGCCCCTGATATTGGAACACTGCTATCATGTCCCCCCTTGTCCTTCTCTTCATTAAACTAGACATTCCTAAATCCAGCAACCGTTCCTTATGTGATTTAGGCTCCAGTCCCTGATCATCTTTGTTGCTCTTCTCTAGAGTCTCAACATCTTTTTTATATCGTGGTGACCCAAACTGGATGCAGGATTCCAATCTGGCCAATCTGAAGTCAGGAGCAACTTGGCTATTTGTTTTTCCTCCAGGTCAATGTTAATCAACTTTGGTAACTTGAAGATTTGTGGATTTCAATTCCCAGAATTCCCCAGCCAGCCCACTGATCACATGACCATGAGGATGTTGTGACAGTCATTTAAGTGCAAGGACCAGTCACAATTGCTTTGAATTGCAATTTGAATAGATGACACAAAAACACACATGTGTGTTTGGCTTTCCTCTTTGCCATCTTCTGTCCAGGATTTTATCTGTTTGTGTTTTTTATCTGCTGTGTTTTTATAATGGAGGATTATAATAATAATAATAATAATAATAATAATAATAATAATAATAATAATAATAATAATAATAGAAGAAGGAGGAGGAGGAGGAGGAGGAGGAGGAGGAGGAGGAGGTTGGAAGGGATCTTGAAGGTCATCAAGTCCAACTCCCTGCTCAGGCAGGAAACCCTATACCATTTCAGACAAATGGCTATCCAGTCTCTTCTTAAAAACCTCCTGTGTTGGAGCATTCACAACTTCTGGAGGCAGGTTGTTCCACTGGTTAATTGTTCTGACTGTCAGGAAATTTCTCCTTTGTTCTAGGTTGCTTCTCTCCTTGGTTAGTTTCCATCCGTTGCTTCTTGTCCTGCCCTCAGGCACTTTGGAGAATAGCTTGACTCCCTCTTCTTTAGGGCAGCCCCTGAGATATTGGAACCCTGCTATCATGTCCTCCCTCGTCCTTCTCTTCATTTTTCAATTTTTTTTTTAATGGTGTAAGCTGCCCAGAGTTATTGGAGACGAGATGGGCAGCCAATAAATTTGATAAATAAATAACTAAATAAACAAACAAATGAAGAAATAGGCAAAATAGGACGGAAATATTTGGAAAGAAATATTTTATATAGGGGAAAACGGAATTCTGACTACAAACTATTCAACGTAGGTTTGACATTGTTAACAAAAGGGGAAATTAAGATTTCCTTTCAGAGTCCTTGCAATCCCTAAGACACACACACACACACATATACGTCAGAGAGGCCATTTTGTGATTTCAGAATCTCACAGGATTTCTTTGAAGCCATCCGCCTCACGCCCTTGCGATCTGCAGTTTGCTGTCCTTCTCTTCCTCATCCCAAAACTGAGAGGAGGAGGAAGCTGAGCTCCAGATGGATGAAGTGACAGATTCCCCACTGTCTCTGTCGGACAGAACAGCTCCGTGCATCAACATATGCTGATGAGCCACAAGCCCCAGAAAACCTGCAGGCGGGTAGAGAGGGGAGAAGGGCAGAAGGCAGTAAGAGCACGGAAAGAAGTAACTTATGACCATTTTTCAGGCTTATGACCATTGCGGCATCCCCCTGGTCACGTGATCAAAGTTCAGCCGCTTGGCCACTGACTCGTATTTATGACGGTTGCAATATCCTGGGATCACGTGATCCCCATTGGCGACTTTCTGACAAGCAAAGTCAATGAGGAAGCCAGATTCACTTCAACAACCGTGTCGCTAACTTAACCACTGCAGTGATTCAATTAACAACTGTGGCAAGAAAGGTCACAAAATGGGGCAAAGCCCGCTTAACAGATGTCTCACGTAACCACAGATTTGAAGCTCAGCTGCGGTGGTAAGTCAAGGAGTACCTGTTTGTGCAAGGGGAGAGGATATTTATTTGTTTTTCTCATGCCGTTTTTATTAAAGGGGTTTTTAAAAAGATAAAAGCAATGCAAATATCAGGAAAGAAAGAATGTAAAACAAGAGAAAGAGAAAGAGAAAGAAGAAGTTACGGAATGGAGAGCACCAATAGATTCTGGTTCGATATCTCTGAATCTCCAACCAGGATCTTTGTTTGAATCATCACCCCGTCTCTGGATTTAGTTTCTCAGGGAAGAAACTAAATTCAATTGCTTCTCATTTTTGACAACCAATTCAGAAGCCTTGAGTTGAGTTTCGGTTGTATTTATACACTGCTGGTAGCCCTCTTTAGTTTATTATTCTCCAATTCTGCTTATTGGATGAGTGGAATCATTTTGATCCTACACGAGACCCAGATCTTGCTTAGCACGTGAAGAAGGTAGTACACAACTCTGAGATTCTCATATCAACAAGAGGATCTGGGATCCTGAGGTTCACACTTCTTTGGAAAATGACAGCAAAATGTGGAAAACAAAAAACAATTCAAGGTGAAACACACAGCTTCGACATTTTTAATTTTGGTATTGTGGAAGCCTAAATGATGATGATTTCTATGGAGGTGTGAGATACTCATGGTGATCCAGAACAATTCTGATTTCAGAGGAATAAACAAGAGCACTGAACTGCATTCATGTAAAAGTATTTTCTGGATATGTTCTGTGATGGGATTATGTCTACGGGAGGTGTAAAAGTAGGATGGAATGACCTTGGGAGACAGGAGGAAGAGCTGTGCAGCCTAGACCAGGGGTAGGCAAACCGGGCTCTTTTATGACTCGTGGACTTCAACTCCCAGAATTCCTGAGCCATCATGGCTCAGCTTGGAATCCTCTCCCTTTCCCCTCAGCATGGCTGGCTCAGGAATTCTGGGAGTTGAAGTCCATGAGTCATAAAAGGGCCAAGGTTGCCCACCCCTGTCCTAGAGGCAGCTGGGCTGTGTGGTTAGCATAAACCTAGACCAGGGGTAGGCAACCTTGGCTCTTTTATGACTCGTGGACTTCAACTCCCAGAATTCCTGAGTCATCATGGCTCAGTATGGAAACCTCTCCCTTTCCCCTCAGCATGGCTGGCTCAGGAATTCTGGGAGTTGAAGTCCACGAGTCATAAAAGGGCCAAGGTTGCCTACCCCTAGCCTAGACTATGGTCTGTTAAAGGAAATCTAAGTGCAAAAGAAGGCTGAGATGGAGAAAGCTTCTCAGAAGAGACCCTCCCTGGTTGTGGGGAGAATAAAACTAAGGGAGGAGAGAGGTACTTTCAGATTTCTGGGTTTGGATGGGTGTTACGGTTGGCTTCTTATTTTCCACCACCACCACCATCATCATTATTATCATCATCGTCATATTAATCGTAACTGTTTGTAGTTTGGAATTGTTTAACACTTGGGGTCCCTACAGGTTAGGCTGGTCTACAAGAACAGTCAATTTTTTAAATAAATAAATAAATAAATAAACCCCAACTTATTTAGGTTCATGCACGTTTTTTTGATCTCGTTATTTCAGCAGCCTCCCCCTTCTGCTTCTCTCATCTGAGGATACTGATGGACCAGTGCCATTGCTAAAAATCATCCCCTCTCCCCAAAATAAGCCAATATAAGCAATCAATAACTGATATAATCAATATAACCAACAATCAATATTCCGTAACCCAGGGGTTCTCAACCTTGGCAACTTTAAGACTTGTGGACTTCAACTCCCAGAATTCCTCAGCCAGCAAAGCTGGCTGAGGAATTCTGGGAGTTGAAGTCCACAAGTCTTAAAGTTGCCAAGGTTGAGAACCCCTGCCGTAACCAATAATTTTGGTTATAGTATGCCAATGCAAGATGAGGTTTGTAAGCTACCTAATCCACCCTTCACTCATTGCAAAACATAACCTGATGTGGAGCACCTCAAAAGATGGCCGCCCACCTTTTGCTGAGGCAATCCTTTATTTCCCAGTTAGGAAATTGATCCACCACCTCACTAAAAACCATCTTCTTGAAAATATACAATCATACAAATGGCTCGTGATATCCTTTCATCTCACCACTTAAAATAAAGAAGGGACAAGTGATCCAGGCCAGGTAGAAAGGCCACTGATAGGAGGTGGCAGATGTTCTGCTGGCACCGTGTGTGGAGATCCGGATAGTGTAAACGCTTAGGCCGAGAAACACAAAGGCAGCTGTGGAAGTACAGGAAGACAATCAACTAGATTCTTTGGAGACCCTTTATATTCTTCTTTTAGAATTTTGTTTTTATAAAAGCTGTGTAAGAGCTGGGGTTGGCACAGTGGTTAGAATGGAGTACTGCAGGCTAATTCTGCTGACTGCCGGCTGCCAGCAGTTCGGCAGTTCGAGTCTCACCGGCTCAAGGTTGAGTCGGCCTTCCATCCTTCTGAGGTCGATAAAATGAGGACCCAGATTGTTGGGGGCAAGAGGCTGACTCTGTAAACCGCTTAGAGAGGGCTGTAAAGCACTGTGAAGTGGTATATAAGTCTAAGTGCCATTGCTATTGCTATATTTTAAAATAAGGTTATCTCACTTCAATGGGATTGGCATGTCCCATCCACATAGGCAGAAGGGGCCTTCTATGGACATCAGCCCAGGAATTCCAGCTGAGGAGACTGAGGAGAACAGTCTTTTCTGCCACGGTTCTTGCCCTCTGGAGCAACGTCCCCCTGAGGTGAGATCCACCCCAACCTCCTGGACCTTCTGAAGGACCTGGAGACTTAGCTCTGCCAACTGGCCTGGGGTCCTGATGGGGGTGGATCATACTGGAGCTGGTTAACAGATTGAGAGAAGACCCACCTTCCCCTGTGTGCATTTTGCTCCCTTCCTTGTCATCTTTGTTCATTTTTAAGGCAATTTTACTCTGAATATTTATTGTTTCAATGTTTTATCTTGTTTTTAATTGGTTGTAAGCCAGGCAGAGTTGCTTTTGGGTGAAATGAGTATGTATGTTTAAATAAGTAAGTATATTTTTAGCAACCTAGAACTAAGGAAAAACTTCCTGACAGTTAGAACAATTAACCAGTGGAACAACTGCCTCCAGAAGCAGTAAATGCTCCAACACTGGAAGTTTTTAAGAAGAGACTGGACAGCCATTTGTCCGAAATGGTATAGGGTTTCCTGCCTGAGCAGGGGGTTGGACTAGATGACCTCCAAGGTACCTTCCAACTTTACTATTATTATTATTAATTATTATTAACTATTATTATTATGGATCATTGCACAGTCAGCCAGATGTTCAGACTGGATTTGGCATTTTGTCTAACTATCGAGTCCTTACCCAGGACCTGGGATAGGCAGATGTGGATGTTTGATGGTATTACAGATATCGTTGCAGGATGGAAGCAGTTCCTAATAAGGCTGCCTTTTGCAATTGACTAATAGCGAATTTGTCGATGCCAATGGTGTTCAAGTGGTGCTCCAGTTGTTTTGGGATTGCACCCAAGGAGCCTATGACTATTGGTATTACCCTTGCTTGCTTTTGCCACAGTCTTTCTATTTCTATTTGTAGGTCTTTGTATTTTGTTATCTTCTCCAGTTCTTTCTCGTCTATTCTGTTGTCTCCAGGTACTGCCATGTCTAATATCCAGACTTTTTTGTCTTTCTTATTGACAATTCTTAAGTAATTATTATTATTATTATTTATTATTATTATTATTTTATTATTATTATTATTATTATTATTATTATTACTATATGAATGCCCATCAAAGACATAAATTTTTACCTGCAATGAAAGATCCCACGGCAGGCACCAAGTACTGGTATGTTGCAGAACTGGTGGAATAGCGATAAGTGATGCTCATAAATGAAGCCCCAACGAATCCAGAGAAAAGAGCCATTATCAGGAGTGTCTTGGCACCATTGAGGTTGGCTGTGGTAGTCATGGCAATAAAATGGAAGACCGCTCATTAGAAGCTTTGAGAGTAGGGCTGTTCTGTCTGTGCACACGTGTTTATACACATCTTTCCAAATCCGAATTATGCATCCATCAAAATTTTATAAGTCCATACAAGGAACCTTCTCTAGCTTTCTAAGATCCCATATCTAAGATATCAGAAGCAATTATTCACCTATATATGAGTCTCTCTCAAATTAATCACCCTTCTATGCTCTCACCAAGGAAGGCGTGCAGATCTGCATTCGAGGTTCCCAAACTGTAGCTGTTGGCATGCTCTGGAAAATCTAGTGATTTATTCATTTATCCATTTATTCAATTTCTGTAGCCGCTCTCAAATCAAGTGACGCAATGTCATCATAAATAAATACAGCCAGGAAACAGGGCATTTATATGCTCAGAGAGCCAGGCCTAGACATAAAATCAGGACTTCAAGGCCCTATGAAAGGACAACAGGGTTGGGGTCATCCTCAATTCTGAAGGGAGAATGTTCCAGAAGGCAGCGGCTACAGTAGAGAAGATACCTCTCTTAGTCTCCACCAGCTGACATTCTTTGATTGATGGGATCCAGAGCATGCCCAACCTGGATGGACCAAATTGGATGGGTAGAAACCTCTGGGAGAACATAGTCCCTGAGGTAACTTGGATTCAAGGGTTTTAAAGGTGACAAATGAACACCTTGAATTGCACCCAGAAAAACAAGGCAATCAATGCAACTCATGTAGAGGTAGTGTTCCATGTGTCAAATACCCAATACCATCTGCTATCCTTGCACCCATATCTTGTACCAGTTGAAGCAAGGTGATTTAGAGGTGCTGTGTGCATATAGATAGATAGATAGATAGATAGATAGATAGATAGATACATACATACATACATACATACATACATACATACATACACAAGAGGTTTAGAAGGTATGATGGAAGAACCCAACATGGTTAAATAGCTTTTTTGGGATGACTCTTGACCCAAAGTTGAAGAAGAAATTCTGGAGAAAGGGACCCCCACAATTCTGGGAAGCAAATGTTGTGGACTCTCTTACGTGCAGAAGCAGCAAGATTGGGGCACACCAGCTTTATACAGACTTTCCAAAGGCCACTGTAGTAAATCTGTGCCTCAGTCTCAAATTTGATCCATTTGTGGTCCATGATAACAAAAACAAGACTAAAGAGAGTGCTGAGGGTGAACACCGTGGCCATCCTTTCACTCCACGACATGGTTGAATTGAGGAAAGTTAAAACTTTTCTTCATGCAGATGTCTTCCTCTTAAGGGAAGCTCTTCACGCCCACCCAAGACACTGGAATACCCTACTGGAATCAGAATCTGCCCTTTATTCCTTGGAATTATGAGGCAATTACCATTAAACCTCCCCTCAGAGCCTTCAAAGCCATCCTGTTCCAGGTTCCATCACTAGCTTTTTGGTTACCATGGATGCCAATGGACAAATGAATGCAAAGCTGAGACTGAGTTTATTCTTTGGCTTCCTGAATACTTCTTCAAAAGAAAAATCTTGTTTTCCTATCCCTTTTTCAAGCTCCTTTTGAATTTATTTTATTGATGTAGGGTGGTCAAGTCTTTGCAGTTTATGGGCTCTGGATCTTCATGTGACTGTATTCTTGGGGGCTGAGCAGAACCACTTTATATCAACCACTGCAATCCTTTGTGTTCTTATGTGGTACTGCAACTCTTAAAAGTCTTGTGTTATCAGTTTCCCAAGGTTTAACTTGATCCTCAAAGGAAGACAATTTTAGAGGATCCATGATTCTCAAGACGTACAGAAACCTACCACTTCTTCGGGATCTTTAATATTAATGAATCTACCCTTCCCTTTTTCTTTTCCATAAAGTACATGTTCTGTATGAGTGGCATGCTGGCCTAGAGGTGAAGATACTCAGCTCCCACTTGGAAGGTTGAGAGTTCAATCCTAAGCAGCCGCAGATGTTTCTCTATCAGAGTGCAAGTAGAAAATATTTGCTGCAAACTCGGAATAGGTGTCAGGAAGGGCATCCAGCCAATAAACACTCAGCTCCACTCAATCACTTCAACTTCACCCCCAATTAAAGGGATGAAAGGGTTGTAAAAAGAAGGGAAAAGTACATGTTCTGTATGTCTACAGAATGTATTTCCTTTGCCATTAGCAGCTGTCCTTCTTATCTATATCTCCCCTTCTTTGTGCTGACTCCTCAGCTTCCATTTTAGATTGCAAATAAGAAAGTTATAACTCGGGAACTTAAAACCTGTCAAAAACATCAAAAAGAGTTTGGTATCTTAGCTTGGAGAAAGAACAAAAATCAACTCCTGACTCCTTCAAATATTTGAAACAAAGTCATCAATAGAGGATGGAGCAAATAGTGTTTTCCATTTGGTCCAGTATGTAGGGCCCAAAGTAAGGAGGATAATTTTAAATAAACATGAACAATAGGCTACCTTCTTTCCTTCCTTCCTACCTTCCTTCCTTCCTTCCTTCCTTCCTTCCTTCCTTCCTTCCTCCCTCCCTCCCTCCCTCCCTCCCTCCCTCCCTCCCTCCCTCCCTCCCTCCTTCTTTCTTTCTTTCTTTCTTTCTTTCTTTCTTTCTTTCTTTCTTTCTTTCTTTCTTTCTTCTCCTTTATTCGAATACAAGCAGACACTTTCCCCTTACATAGAAGATAATACTAGCAAAGGAAAGCAAAAACATGAAATGTTAAAATTAATCAGTCATATATATATATATATATATATATATATATATATATATATATATATATATATATATATAGGTCTTTGGTTGTTCGGGTTTTCTCCCACGTAAAATTGGAAGTGTCTTGGCGACGTTTCGACGAAGTCCCATTCGTCATCTTCAGGCTGGTGCTTTCAGCTTCGTACCTCGAGCAGCAACTGCTGCTCGAGGCACGAAGCTGAAAGCACCAGCCTGAAGATGACGAATGGGACTTCGTCGAAACGTCGCCAAGACACTTCCAATTTTACGTGGGAGAAAACCCGAACAACCAAAGACCTACATACAAATACCCGCGAAAACCTCAGAAAACAAATATATATATATAATTTCTTCCATAAACATTGGTAAGTCTTGGTGTCAGTACACACTCAGTGCTGTGTGTCCGTATATCGGGGAATCTTATGTGGTCTCATCTGGATCCTTCCTTTTTGGGGCATAAACATGGTTAATGGAGACTTCTTCAAATTCTATCAGGATGAAAAGGAGACCTGGGAGGAAATTGAGAAAACCCAAGCTGTCAGTATAAATGGAGTAGGATTATTCTGCAGCAATGTTGTATTTTAATACATGCACAGTTACTGTACCTATATAACTATTCTCCTCTAACCTGTGGCATGTCTAAATTACCAGAGCCCTTGAGAACATAAACCTTTTGTGAGCTTCATGTTGATGAGGGACATTGTCAGTGATGGGATTCAAATAGGTGAACAACCGGTTCTCTTTGTGGATGCCACTTCCAGAAGTCCATTCTGGGCCTGGGCAACAAAAAATTAGCTACCGGTTCTGTCGAACTGGTGCGAACTGGCTAATCCTATCACAGGGAAGGAGGGAGGGAGGGAGGGAGGGAGGGAGGGAGGGAGGGAGGGAGGAAGGAAGGAAGGAAGGAAGGAAGGAAGGAAGGAAGGAAGGAAGGAAGGAGTGGTGGGATTCAAATATGTCAACAACTGATTCTCTGTGTGGATGCCACTTCCGGAAGTCCATTCTAGGCCTGGGCAACAAAAAATTAGCTACCACTTCTGCCAAAGTGGTGCGAACTGGCTGAATCCCACTCCTGGACATGGTTGCTTCATTTCCTCATACCACGGCCCCACTCCACCCTACCACTCCCTTGTGTTGAGTGGGGATCTGATTTACATAACTTTGGCTTAGGGAGTGTTTGTAAACCTCAGCAACTTTAATATGAACTCCCAGAAGTCCCCAGATAACAATTCAGTGGCTTTCTGTAAGGCAGTAACTCATTGTTGTTATTTACAAATACTTAGGAGCACAACTAAGCTCAAAATTTTTGCTGCTAAATGAGACATTTGTTACGTGAGTTTTGCCCCATTTTATGACCTTTCTTAACACAATTGTTAAGTGAATCACTGCAGTTAGTAACATGGCTAGTGAGTGAATCTGGCTTCCTCATTGCCTTTGCTTGGCAGAAGGTTCACAAAAGGGGATCACATGACCCGGGGACTCTGCGACCGTCATAAATTTGAACCAAGTTGCCAAGCCTCCAAATTTTGATCATATGACCACGAGGATGCTGCAACAGTCATAAGTCACTTTTTTCAATACCGTTGTAACTTTGAACAGTCACTAAATGAACTGTTGTAAGTTGAGGACTTCCTGTAGTAGTTTAAAGCTTCATCTTATATATGTAAACATACCATATTGGCTGGGGAATTCTGGAAGTTGAAGTCCACATTTCTTAAAGTTGCCATGTATGATCGACTCATACTCTTCACCCATCCTGCCGACAAGTATTTTTCTCTACAATTGTCTTTTTTTCCAAGCAAATGTTCATTTAGTAGTTCAAATGAGCAGTCTTCCTTCCATTTAGAACAGTGGTTCTCAACCTTTTAATGCCGCGACCCCCCAACTGGTCGTAAGTCGAGGACTACTCAACCGGTCGTAAGTCGAGGACTACTCAACTGGTACAGCACCATTTGCAGAATGGGACTTTTGGCGGGCTCAGCAGGGCAGAGACAGCCTAGACAATTCCTATTGGCTTTTGAAAGTCAATAGAATTAGACTCTATTCAAGAGAGTCTATTCTATTGGTTTTCAAAAGCCAATAGAATAAAAGGGAGTAGCACAGCTAAGGAAAAGGGGGAAAAAATGGTGGACTGCGTTGTTTGGCGACCCCGTGAAATGGTCGTTCGACCCCAAATGGGGTCCCGACCCGCAGGTTGAGAACCACTGATTTAGAAGAATGCAACTGCCCCATTTAATTGCTAAATGCAGAAGCTGCCATCTTTGCCCTAGAGCTTTGCGCCTACAGCAATAATCCATTTTATGTCTCAGTGCTTAATATGCACACCCACACACTCATCGCTGCTGCAAAAGTGCTGCACTCACACACTCGCTCATTAGGTTACACCCATCTCTATCCATATGTCTCAATCCTTCCTTGCACTCTCTGCAGCCTTCAGTTATTAGATGGTTGGGTGGGAACTCACCATTCAGTAGGAAAAGGAAGCTAGCAAAACAACCCATGACAAAGGACCAGGAGATATAAATTGGATTGGTAGTGACCGGAGCAGGATGACCGAGAAATCCATTGGATTTAAGGGACAAGCCATACAACACCATCATGATTAGTGTTATGACTCCTGGGGATAGAGGGAGGGAAAAGAACATAACAACAGAGTTGGAAGGATGTAGGAGGTTTTTTTGGTCCAACCCGCTGCTTAAGCAGGAAAACATATACCATTTCAGACAAACGGTTGTCCAGTCTCTTCTTAAAAATCTCCAGTGACAGAGCACCCACAACTTCTGAAGAAAAGCTGCTCCATGGATTAATTGTTCCCACTGTCAGGAAATTTCTCCTTACTTCTGGGTTGGATCTCTCCTTGATTAATTTCCTTCCATTGATTGTTGGTCCGTCTTGGAGAATAGGTTTTTGATACCATTGCAGAGGCAACATATCTACTATACTTCAGTCCGGACAGCCTACACGTTACTTTACATAATCTTGATAAGATTTTTCTAAATTTGAAATGTGTGTTTGCTGTACTCAGTAGAGGAAGAGAGCCATGTTTGCATGCAGCAATGTTTCCCAACACGCTGGCTGGGGAATTCTGGGAACTGAAATCCACACATCTTAAAGTGGCCAAGGTTTGGAAACACTGGTCTATGATAATTTTAGGCAATTTCAGAAGGCCCCGACAAACAGAATGGGCTTTTAACCCACTGCAATTTTTAGTTAGTTAGTTAATTAATTAATTAATTAATTAATTAACTCAGGGACTCAGGGTGGTGTACAAAATTAAAACAACAAATATAACAGTTAAAAATGAATACATTCACACAGCATGTCCCAATTGAATCCCCCCCCCCCGGGGACATCAACCCCAAGCCTGCCGGAATAGGAGAGTTTTAATAACTTTCTTGAAGGCCGGCAAGGTGGGAGTAGTTCGAATCTCAGGGGGAAGTTGATTCCACCACGTCGGAGCCACCACAGAAAAGGCCCTTCCCCGAGGGTCTGCCAGCCGACATTGTCTGGCTGACGGGACCTGAAGGAGGCCCAATCTGTGGGACCTCACCAGTCTCTGGGAACTATGCGGCAGTATGTGGTCCTGTAAGTAACCTGGTCCTGAGCCATGAAGGGCTTTAAAGGTGATAACCAACACCTTGAATTGTGTCCGGAGACCCACAGGAAGCCAGTGCAGCTCGTGGAGGATAGGTGACACATGGGTATACCTTGGTGCACCCATAATCGCTCTCGCAGCTGCATTCATATTAATCAATAAGGCGCCTGGAATCTGTGTCATCTGTAACTTACATCTACATAACTTCCCCCCCCTTCCAATCCACCAGCCTCAATTTAAATCCTACATCAGTTGGCCTATTCTATGATGAAGTGAGCTGTAGCTCATGGATGCTTCTGCTTTACAAAACATTTCTTAGTTGGAAAGATGCTACCAGATTACATGCCCAAAGCAAGACTAGAACTCACCGTCTCCTGGTTTCTAGGCCAGCAACCTTAACCACTACGTCAAACGGGTTGTAACAATTATAAGGTGTTAAAAATCTATTGGGTGTGAGAATTTCTCAGACATGCTGGCTGAGGAATTCTGGGAGTTGAAGTCCACCCAACTTAAAAGTTGCCAAGGGTGAGCAATACTGCTCTACTATAAAAACTCAGAGAAGGAAGGTGCACACCACTCCTAGGTTGTTCTTATGAGGGACAAAAATCATCATAAATAGGATGGAGCCATCTGTACCTGTAAAGAGGTTGGTGATGAGAGGCCACTTGGAATGCTTTAAGCTGGACTTGGTAAAGAGCACGCAAGCAACTGCTATTAATCCAGAGATTGTGCTGAGTGACATAACACTTCTGGTCAACAGAAGGATTTCTGGGGAAAAAAGGTGGGGCAAACGTTGAAAATTTTAAGCAGGAATATTGTGTCTTAGTATTGTTCACTAGACTGAGGGATGCTGTGTTTTAAACCATCTGAATGCAGAGTAGACAAAAACTAATCCTAAAGAACTATAAAATAGGTTTGCCTCCCACACCACTATATTCTCCATCTGTCTTTGAACAATGAAGCCCCTTTGTTCTATATGATATCCAGAAAATGTTAATTGGAAAAAAGTTTTTCCTTCTGATTATCTTATTTATTCATTCACATACAAAGAATTCAATCAGGCAGCTCAATAAAATTCAGAGACTGAAATATTGTTCCCAGCTGGAACAGCCAAGTCTTTCTTATCTGGTCCCAAACCATATAGAGAACACTTTATTTCCTAAACACAATATTTAAAAACTCCTCCCCCTCTTAAAAAAACACTTTCATTTGCCCTTAGAAATGGAGCTGACTGTCATGCAGCTGAAAAGTTATGAGAACATTATAACTTTACTGTTAGATTTTTTGGTTCACAAAGCGCTATGTCCTTTATCTAATTTTGTGTTGAACTGTGTGTATTCTCTGCTCAGAAGTTTTCGTATCCCGCAGAAATAGTTGTTTCTTTTCTCGCAATTATTAGGATGCTTGAAACTCAAGAAATGTTCTGAGTTCTTGTGGTGGTATTTTTGAGCTGACCTTATGCCCTATCATAGTTTTCCATCACACAGGAGCCTTCTTTCTCAACCTTAGCAGTTTTCAGATGTGTAGGACAGTGGTGGTGAACCTATGGCATGGGTGCCAGAGGCGGCACTCGGAGCCCTCTCTGTGGGTACACATGCCGTTGCCCCAGCCTTGCCTCCCCCTGTGACCCCCTCCTCACCAGCAGCCCCCTTGGAGGAGAGTCACCCCCGAGCATGGCCATGCGGAGCAGTGCAGCCAAGGACATGGCAGCCAGGCAGCGTAGACAAGACTCTGCCCGCATGCCCCATCGCACACAGTTGTTGCTGCGGGGCGCGGGCAGATGGTGTGGCTGCCATGGCGTTGCTGGGCTGCCTGGGCAATCTGCGGCGGGCTCTGGAGGTGGTGAGTGGCCCTGGGGGCAGGCGGGGTGAGGGCGGAGTGAGGGCAGGGCAGCGGGTGGAGCGGGGGTCGGACCAGTTTTGGGACACTCGGTCTGTAAAAGGTTCACCATCATTGGTGTAGGATTTCAACTCCTGGAAAAGCTAAACCCATCTGAATTCTGGGAGTTGAAGTCCATACATCTTAAGCCTGCCAAGGTTTAGAAACACTGCTCTAGAACAGGAGTCCCCAACCTTTTGGGCACCAATGACCGATTCTGTGGAGAAAGGTTTTTCCGTGGACTGGAAAGTGCATGGTTTTATGTGCTGCCTGCATCCTGCAGATGGGGCTTTGCTTGTTTGTCCAAACTGATTGCTGGCATGCCGTGGCCTGGTGCCGATCCATGGACTAGAGGTTGGGGACCCCTGCTCTGGAGCATCTCTAGCTGATCACATTTTTTTTCCCTTCCTAGTGTTTTTCCACAAGGGCAGAGTCCTTTTTTTCCCCAGATCAGCCAAGTGTTGATCTATTGGTTGAGACAGAAATTGACTGCCTGGCTTGTCGTCGCACTTATTGGCCTGAAAAAGCCACTTGAGAAGATGATTGTTTCTCTCAGGTTTGAAGGGAAGTGTGAAAAGCCACAGAAGCTGTAAAGTTCAAATGAGAGGCTTGTGTGATGGAAAACAAGACATTCACCCTTGGCCAGTTCGTTCCAAAATAAGTAGAAGAAAGTTCCATCCCATCTCAGTTCAGCTAAACATACCACGGTGTGCCTCAGGGAATGGGACAACTTGCCACAGCCAGCTGGCTGCTGCCTACTCACCACGACCAACTCACTGTGGGAAGGGGCTGGACTAGAAGACCTCCAAGGTCCCTTCCAGTTCTATTCTATTCTATTCTATTCTATTCTATTCTATTCTATTCTATTCTATTCTATTCTATTCTATTCTATTCTAAAACCCACCACAGCCACAGGACAACTCACTGCAGGACAATTTAACAATTCTACTTAATGATTTAAAAGAAATAAAAAAAATATTTTATTTTTTTTGCCATTCACATTTCATTCTGGTTCATCTGTAGCCTCCTTTTGCATCCTTTCTTTAATGATTCCATTCCACCATTTCTTTGATATTAGTGTAACTCAGGGGTCTTCAAACTTGGCCCTTTGATGACGTGTGGACTTGAACTCCCAGAATTCTTCAGCCAAGCAAGCTGGCTGAGGAATTCTGGGAGTTGAAGTCCACAAGTCATCAAAGGGCAAAGTTTGAAGACCCCTGGTGTAACTTTTGTCCTGCAGTCAGTTGTTCTGTGGCAAGATGGCCCTGGTGAGTTGGCCATAGAGAATTGTCACAGACCCACGCCTCATATCCTCTTGTCCTTTGGAAGAAAAGCAAAATCTCACCTGACTGAATTAGGAAAATATATATGCCCTTAGAGCAGTGATGGCGAACCTATGGCATGGGTGCCAGAGGCGGCACTCAGAGCCCTCTCTGTGGGCACACATGTCATTGCCCCAGCCTTGCATCCCCCAGCAACCCCCTCCTTTTCAGCAGCCCCCCTGAAGGAGAGTCGCCCCCGAGCGTGACCCACACAGAGCAGCGCAGCCAAAGACATGGCAGCCAGGCAGCGTAGACAAGACTCTGCCCTCACACCCCATCATGCAGTTGATGCTGCAGGACGCAGGCAGAGGGTTGCCTGGGCGATCTGCGGCAGGCCCTCGAGGCAGTGAGTGGCCCTGCAGGCCGGCAGGGTGGGGCAGAGTGGGGGCGGGGCAGGGGGTGGGGCAGGGGTCTAAAAGGTTTGCCATCACTGCCTTAGAGCGATGCATTTTAATCTATTTTTCCCTTTCCTCCCCTCAGTCTCTAAACCGAAGTCCCCAGTGAAAAGGCAAGGAGAAGGAAGAGGGGAGTAACTCTTACTTGTATTCCCAGCAAGTTTCCTGCAGGTGTGGTTCTTGCAAATGTTCCAGAGGCCCACGTTGATGGGAAAGTCAGGCTGGATGATTGTAAGCCAGAATGGAGAGAGTAACGCGGTAAACAAACAGACCAAGCCCACGCAACAAAAGATCCTGCTGAAAAACTTATACCGGAACAATAAGACCGAGACTTCACTGTGTGGAATGCCTTGGGGGGAAGGAGGTGAGGGATGGGGAGGAAATACTTGTTTATTTCATCAGCACACTTGTATCCCTCCTCCTCCTCCTCTTCCTCCTCCTCTTTTTTTTTTGAGTTGGCTCCCATCTCTAAGAACACAGCCCAAAAAGCTGACTTGTACCTAGAACAGACCATCAATATTTTTTTCTTCTTTCCCCCAAATCATTCCAGTATCTTGACAACAGGATTGGCCTGTTTGAACAGCAGGCAGGCCAAAGTGTGAGATATTCCCTTGGTCTCCTTCCAATGCGAGCCATCCCAAAGTGGGATATGGAGACTGGAACCCCTGTTCCCAGAGACCGGTGAGGTCCCATAGATTGGGCCTCCTTCAGGTCCCGTCGGCCAGACAATGTCGGCTGGCGGGCCCTTGGGGAAGGGTCTTTTCTGTGGTGGCTCCGACCTGGTGGAATCAACTTCCCCTCGAGGTTCAAACTACTCCCACCCTGCCGGCCTTTAAGAAAGCCGTTAAAACTCTCCTGTTCCGGCAGGCCTGGGGCTGATGTCCCTGGGGGGGGGGGCGGGATATGATCGGACATGCGGCATGATTGTATTATTTTATTGTATTATTGTTAGATGATTGTTTTAATTTTGTACGCCGCCCTGAGTCCTTTGGGATTGGGCGGCATATAAATAAATTAAATAAATAAATAAATAAAATTCTCTGCCAACGTTATGGGTAAGCCCAAAGAGAAAGAGGGAATGTTTTTTTCCAGGGGAAGGAGAGGTTTCTCTCCTGTTGGAAGCCACGGAGAGGGCATGAAGCCAGAGAGAGACATGCTTTAGGAAGGATAGGCATTCAACTTGGGGGCCCCTTGTAACTCAACATGGGAAAACCCCCATATCCACCAGTGAAAACATCCCTACTTTTTTTTCCCCCTTTGAAAGAAAATTTGAAATTTGTGGCTGCCTTTCTCCCCAGTGAAACTTTGGGCAATAAATGGAACCTCATTGGCATCCTTCAGTCTCGAGAGACTATGCAGTGTTTCCCAAACTTGACAATTTTAAGGCATGAGGACTTCAACTCCCAGAATTCCACAGCCAGCATTGCTGGCTGTGGAATTCTGGGAGTTGAAGTCCACAAGCCTTAAAATTGTCAAGTTTGGGAAACACTGGACTATGGTATTGTGCTCTGGAAAGAGGTAGCATCTGGTGGGGCTGAAAAGGCCAATTTGAGAATGGCAGTCCCTTCCACACTGAGGGCAGATACAATCTTTTTTTTTTTAAAATATTTTTTTTATTTTTCCAAACTCTCCCCCATACATATACCATAATATTTATCAGATGTTAACATACATTCTTTTTTACATTCATATATAAGATGCTTTTAATAAAATGAAATAAATACATACACATGGCTTTTGGTGTTGCTCGTCCATTTCCCCTTTCACCGTATCCATACTCCTTCTTCTCTATCTTCTTTCTCCCTTTCTTCTCTTCCCTACTTCCCTCTTCTTCCTCTCCTCTTCTCTTTCCTTTACCACTCTCCTCCCCTTTCTCCCCACTTCTCCTCTTCTCCTCCAACCTTCCTACTTCCTTCTCCCCTCCTTTACTCTTTTCTCTCTCCTCTCCTTTCTTCCCTCTTCAGATACAATTTAGGGGTAATGTCCGAGCAACTCCTCTCTCCAAATTTCCCTAAGGGCAGATACAATCTGTCCCCTGTCCAGCCCCCAGATTTCGCTGCTTCCGGGACTGCCTCTTTGCCTCAGCCTGCCGCACAAGTGTCTCTTCGAATTGGAGAAGGCCATGCTGCGTCTTTAGCCTCCAGTCTGAATGATCAGAGGTCAAGGATTCCCAGCTGTTAATGTCCATTCCCGTGGCCTTTAGTCAGGGCTTTTCAACCAGAGGTATGGGTACCACCTGTGGTACATTGGCACCTGGCAAGTGGTATGTGACCATCCTAGAAAAATGGTAGGAGGGGAATGAGCAGAACCGGTGGCAGCACTGCACAAGCCTGAGCGAGAGATGGCTGCAGCTGCAGGGCTGTTAGGGCTCAGCGGAAGAGCCAGGATCAGTGCCTCTTTCCAGCTGATCGGTGCTTCTTCGGGGCTATCAGGGTTTAGCAGAAGTGCCAGGATCAGCGCCAGGCTCCAGCTGGAGCACGACACTGATCCTGGTGCTTCCGCTGAGCCCTGAAGAAGCACCAATCAGCTGGAATGTTGCAGCATCTCCAGGGTTTTGTGATTTACATTCAGATGCTTGGCAACTGATTCATATTTATGACGGTCACAGTGTCTCAGGGTCATGTGAAGTGACCAAAACCTGCTGCAACCACCCAGCAGATGGGGGGAATAAAAACCAAACACCCCCCACCCCACCCCCGCTCCCAATCCTCAACAGAAATGCTCACTACAATAAAAACCTTGGACAGGAGGAGGAGCGCTGCCAGGTGGGCAGGCAGGTGTCTTGCTCGGCTGTGGATTGGGAGGTGCTTTTTTCAGTGCCATTGTAACTTCAAACAGTCACTAAGCAAACTGTGGTAAGTCGAGGACTACTTGTACTTCATCACTTTTTTCCTTTTTTTTTTTTTGGTCATCACATTTTTGACACCTTGCTAGGCGACTGGTGGTACACGGATATTGCCATATCCTAAAAGTAGTACAATGGGTGAAAAGGTTGAAAAGCCCTGCTTTAGGTCCCTCTTGCAGATATCCTTATATCGCAGCTCAGGTCTCCCTCTGGGGCGCTTTCCCTGCACTAGTTCTCCATACAGGAGATCTTTTGAGATCCAACCATCAGCCATTCTCACGACATGCCCAAGCCAGTGCAGACGTCGCTGTTTCAATAGTGTATACATGCTAGAGATTCCAGCACATTCCAGGACTGCGCTATTTGGGACTTTGTCATGCCAGGTGATGCCGAGAATACATCGGAGACAGCGCATATCAAAAGTGTTCAGTATTGAATAACTGGAGGTTGTATAAATGTTTATAGAAATATATACCGAGAAGGTTAGATCAATAGAAGTATTAATGTAAGAGAAAATTAATCTTATTGTATATAATACAGATAGGGAAATTTGGAGAGAGGAGTTGCTCGGACATTACCCCTGAATTGTATCTGAAGAGGGATGAGAGGGAAGAAAGGAGAGGAGAGAGAAAAGAGTGAAGGAGGGGAGAAGGAAGTAGGAAGGTTGGAGGAGAAGAGGAGAAGTGGGGAGAAAGGGGAGGAGAGTGGTGAAGGAAAGAGAAGAGGAGAGGAAGAAGAGGGAAGTAGGGAAGAGAAGAAAGGGAGAAAGAAGATAGAGAAGAAGGAGTGTGGATACAGTGAAAGGGGAAATGGGCGAGCAACACCAAAAGCCATGTGTATGTATTTATTTCATTTTATCAAAAGTATCTTATATATGAATGTAAAAAGAATGTATGTTAACATCTGATAAATATCACGATATATGTATGGGGGAGAGTTTGGAAAAATAAAAAAATATTAAAAAAAAAGAAAAATGTTCCGCTTTCTCTCTGCCGTATGTGAAGAGTCCAAGACTCACTGCAGTACAAGAGTGTGCTCAAATGGAACAAAACTCTCATCAACCCACTATCCCAGCGGTAGGCAACCTTGGCTCTTTTATGGCTCGTGGCCTTTAACTCCCAGATTTCCTGAGCCAGCTTGGCTGGCTCAGGAATTCTGGGAGTTGAAGGCCACGAGCCATAAAAGAGCCAAGGTTGCCTACCTCTGCACTATCCCCTCTCTTAAGGAAAAAAAACTCCCACAAACAAAAAAAACACCCCCAAACCCTTAAACTGAGACGCAATAAAAACCTCCTACTTTTAATTCAAATTTGCATTGTTTCTGTTTTACTGTTGGAGGTCATCGTAAGCCTTCAGGAACCACATGGGAGTCAAAAGGAGGAGATGCATCTCTAGTTCGGGGTCAGTTGATGTCCTTTGTCTATTTTGCTTTGGACTAAATTGAGTAAAACCTATTAAAAATCTTTGTCACTTACCTTCTTCTTGGAAATGTATCCTTGAGTTCTGGAAAACAAAATGCTTGATTAGAAGAGACAGCTGGAGAACTTATGGTTAGGTTTCAATTGCAATGTATCAAAAAACATCCTTCAATACCTTAAAATGTTTTAATTCATGTAAGAAATCAGAATGAGAATATTAACAGTTGGCGTTGATTCTTCTGGAATTAAAAACAAGGGTTACTGAAATTTTTAAAAAGCCAGCTCGGTCTAGTGGTTCAAGCACCAGGCTAAAAACTGGGAGACTGTGACTTCTAGTCCTGCCTTAGCCTCAGAAGCCAGCTAGGTGACTTTGGGCCAATCACCAGTAGACTGTGAGTTCTAGTCGCGCCTTAGCTATGAAAGCCAGCTGGGTGACTTTGGGCCAATCACCAGGAGATGGGGAGTTCTAGTACTGCCTTAGCCTCAGAAGTCGGCTAGGTGATTTTGGGCCAATCACCAGTAGACTGTGAGTTCTAGTCCTGCCTTAGCCACGAAAGCTGGTTGGGTGACTTTGGGCCAATCACCAGGAGACTGTGAGTTCTAGTCCTGCCTTAGCCTTGGAAACCAGCTAGGTGACTTTGGGCCAATCACCAGTACACTGTGAGTTCTAGTTCCACCTTAGCCATGAAAGCTGGCTGGGTGACTTTGGGCCAATCACCAGGAGACAGGGAGTTCTAGTCCTGCCTTAGGCATGAAAGCCGACTGGGTAATCACTCTCTCATAGCCCAATCCATCTGGCAGGGTTGTTGTTGTGGGAAAAATAGCAGGAGGCAAATGTGTTGGATATGTTTGCTGCCTGGAGTTATTTGTAAAAAACAATAAAGGGAGGATACAAATAAATAAAATGAATAACTAAAATAAAAAAGCATCCAGAAATTAATACAATAAATCATAATCCATTCTGAAAATGAAGATCTTCAGCAATGTATGAAAACATTAGGGGAAAAAAAATCAAGCCTCCCTCGAAAGAGCAAAGTACAGAAAAAGCCTAGAGTAATAAAGTTTATTATAGAGATAAGCGTATCAGCAAACCATTCCACATTTAGATGGTACCTTATTCTAAGTCAAAATCAAATTAATTATGTAGTAATACCATTATTAAGGCAGTAGTAGAATCACAAGCGTAGTTCTGTTTAGAGAAGGATAGGAATAACACCTTTCTTCCAAAATACCCGTTCTTTCCTAAAAACAAAACAAAAAGAAAGAAGAAGGCATTATGTGAACATCCTGGAGATCTTTTATGGAAAGGACATTGCAGCCTATTTCTAGAGAATAGAACCAAAAAGATTCAGAGAGCAAAGTACCCCTGGCTATCAGCTTCTTTGGTAGGAAATCCTGAAAAACATGGGTTGGAGTTGACCATCAGAAAGATGCCTGTGTCTTTATTCCTGCAGGAAAGAAGATTCTCTGGCAGTTGGAGCCGGTGCCATGGAACAATTGTGATGTGTTGGTTTAGACTGTGACATGAAAGCAAGGCAGCCAATAGATATGGAGAAGAAGCCAGGCAAGGGTTGTCCCTGTTTTTTTTGAGTTTCAAGCTCAGTTGCTGGGAGGTGGGCGGAGGGATTGCTTCGCTTCTCCAAACTAGTTTGATCTGAGATGCCTCCAAAGGGACAGCCATATCAGAAACGTGACACTTCAGTCAATATTTTCACTGGCGTCTGGTCTAGCATAGTAAGTCCAACAAAGGAAATGGCAAACTGGATCTGAAACAGAGGTTGGCACCCTAAGAGTCCCTCACCCCCAAGCTACCTTGGATCTCACATCGCAGGGGGCTAGACCTAATTTTAAAAACACTTATGGGAAAGTTTACTAGCCCTACCTACCTTGCAAGTCTGAAAGCCCGTACCTGCTCTCTACTTTTACTTTCCAGAGAACTAAGGATGGCCCCATCTAAGATCCGTCCTCCACCCTCTTCCTTCCTTTGAACTCAACTTCATTTATCAGAACGTTGCCTATTTGATGGTTCTTCTGTCTCCCAAGGTTATCTCACATCTCATTACATATATGAATGAAACTCGCCCTTCCCTCCATCTTTAGCAATTCTAGGTTACTAAGAAATATATTTAACTAGCAACTTGGGTACCCTACTTTTTCTCACCAGCTGTGACCAAGAGTGTTCCTACCCTCTTTCCTAGTACAGAAGGGGAGGTTGTTGTCAAATCGGCTGAAGGATCTGTCTGTAATGTCCAATAAGATCACTTTCATGATGACGATGCCTGAAAGTCTAGATTCTTTCTACAGGTCTACTCCAAGATCTGGTGGTCACCTTACTACCAAAACATTTATTGCCTGTTGTGCTGCATCAACTTCATGCTTCTTATGATTTTCATGGCAACTCCCATATGGCTTCGGCAAAATTCCACGAAAGACTATACATTTATTGGGATATGGAGTATATGTGACGAGTTAAGCTGTAAAGACCTTTCTCTCCCTGAGGAAGGTAAGTAAGGCAGTGATGTTCTTCCCATCTGCTGGACTTCTTTCTCATCTAAAGTTTCATTAAACATACAGGTAGTCCTTGATTTACAACCATTCATTTAGTGATTGTTCGAAGTTGCAACGGCATGGAAAAACGTTTTTCACACTTACGACCTTTTCAGCATCCCCATGGTCACATGATTTATATTTGGATGCTTGACAAATGACACATATTTATGACGGTTGCAGTGTTCCAAGATCATGTGATCCCCTTTTGGGACCTTCTGCCAAGCAAAGTCAATGGGGAAACCAGATTTGCGTAACAGCCAGTGTAAGGACCCACCCCACTTTGCATCTTAAGAAGACAGAACTCTTGGAATAATTCTTCCAACAGGCATCCTTTATTAAGAGAAAATGGTTGCAGGCGTTCTAGACAGGACTTGGCGTCCAAGCTCTCCCATTCAAGGTTTTAAGGGGTTCCCCAGTAGCCCCACCCAATCACCCCCTTCTTCCAGTGACAGTCTCAGGCATTACACTCCCACCCCCTTTTCCTTACTGCCGGCTGGATGGAGACTTCAGAGAGGAGTACATGAAAGGTAATAGCCCCATTGTTATGGTTAGTCCTTTGGTGATATCCACATCCAGTCCCTTTGAAGTGTACTGAAGGAAGTGAGGGCCATAAAGCCCCTTTGTTCACCCCCTTCCCTTCATTATATGACAGAATCCAGAGAAGGCAGAAATGGGGTTTTCTATAGTTGATAACTAGAGATGAAATATAATTGGATTCTGACAGCCAGGTTGCTGATTTAATAACTTCAGTGATTCACTTGACAAATGTGGCGAGAAAGGTCGTACAATGGGGCAAAACTCTCTTTAACAAATGTCTCACTTAACAACATCAATTTTGGGCTCAATTGTGTTTGTAAGTCGAGGACTGCCTCTTTAATCCTCCTAGACTTACAACCACAATTGGGAACAGAATTTCCATTGCTAAGTAAGGTGATTGTGAAGTGAGTTGCACTTGATTTTACCACCTTTCTTGCTGTGGCTGTGAAGTGTATCTCCACAACTGTTAAGTGAACGATGCGCTAGCTAAGCAAATTTGGCCTTCCCCCATTGACTTTGCTTGTTGAAAGTCAGCTGGGAAGGTGACAAATGGTGGTCACATGACCCCAGGATGCTGTGACCCTCATAGATACATGATGGTTGCCAAGCACCCACACTTTGATTATGTGACCATGGGGGTGCTGCTCAATGGTCGTAAGTATCAACTCTCCAGTAGTCATTTCCAGAAAAAGAAACTCCTGGGATGTATTTTATCAAGAGTATGATACTTTACTGAAAATTTACATTGGCACAGAAGAAAGCAAAACCAGCTCTGGTTTTTCCACTTGAAAATTTGCTGAGTTAATCAATAAACGCCCTCACTCCACCCACTGGGCGTTCACATTGTCCAATAGTAATATTTCTTCTTCTTATGGGAACAGTCCACTTCTCCACTGAGAGCTGGCCTTGGGCTCTTGGGTTGCCTAGAGGTCATCCCTCCCATGCTTGCATTCCATTGTCAAGATATGAGCAAAAGAGAAAATCTAGGTGAAAAGGTGAATCAGTCTTGAAAATAAGTGCAAGGACTTAGATCCTTAAGTCACTTTTTTCAGTGCTATTGTATCTTTGAACAATCCACTAAATCAGTGGTTCTCAACCTGGGGGTCGGGACCCCATTTGTGGTCGAACGACCATTTCACGGGGGTCGCCAAACAATGCAGTCCGCCATTTTTTCCCCCTTTTCCTTAGCTGTGCTACTCCCTTTTATTCTATTGGCTTTTGAAAGCCAATAGGAATTGTCCAGGCTGTCTCTGCCCTACTGAGCCCGCCAAAAGTCCCATTCTGCAAACGGTGCTGCACCAGTTGAGTAGTCCTCGACTTACGACCGGTTGAGTAGTCCTCGACTTACAACTGGTTGGGGGTCGCGGCATTAAAAAAGGTTGAGAACCACTGCATTAAATGAATGGTTATAAGCCGAGGGCTCTTATTGTTATTTAGTTTTACCAAAACTATCCTCACAGGGAGATATACAAAGTATTGAACCTTCTGTTTTGATTACAATAAGTTCAGTGGTGGGATTCAAATATGTGAACAACCAGTTCTCTGCATGGATGCAGCTTCTGGAAGTCTGTTGTAGGCAGTGCTTTTTTTGTAAAAAAAAAAAAAAAGGTGCCAGAACTCACACACATCATACAACCCGCCTTGCCTACCCTACAAAGTTCCATCCCAAAAAGGTGGCGGAACTGGGCGTTCTATGACAAAAAAAGCCCTGGTTGTAGGCCTGGGCAACAGAAAATTAGCTACCGGTTCTGCCAAACTGATGTGAACCAGCTGAATCTCACCATTGGATAGCTTGTTTGTTTATAATACTCTGGCATCCTATAGCCCCGGGGAACACCAAACTTGGCAATTTTAAAACTTGTGGACTTCAACTCTTAAAATTCTAGCTGAGGAATTCTGGGACTTGAAGACAACAAGTCTTAAAAGTTGCCAGATTTGAAGACCCCTGCTATAGTCTGCCACATGCTAGATAGGCAGGTTATCAGAGGTTAATGAGAATCATAGAATTGTAATCCTGGGTTTTAGTTCAACACTGGTGGTGGTGGTGGTGGTGGTGGTGGTGGTGGTGGGCAGGTTGGCTGACATATTTTACTAGGAGATTTTAAAGCAAAACATGGCATTGAAAAAAAATCAATTTCCAAATTCTTCAGCTGGGATAGTCATAGATAAAATTTTTGGTAAGTTTAGCAGATTGGAGAAGACTGAAATGGATTAATCAGGCATTTCAGTTTTCAAATGTAGGCAGTCTCAGCTTAGTGGTACCAAGAGTTTACACTGCACACTCTAAGTCCCAGGTTCAAATCTAGGTGCTGATGTTTAGTGAATTAATCTAATTAACAAAGAAGATTCAAGACAAGGAATTTACCAGGGATGGCAGGCCCAAAAAGTCAAGATGGCAGCTGTAACTGTGTGGTCAAAGGTGCCATCTTGACTTTTTCTCCTTTTTAGTCAGGCCTGGGCACCATTCAGAGAGGTGATATTCTACTAAGGGACTCTGTTGGTCTTACCTGTCCCTTCCTCCCTAATTTGCTATGGTTCACATTAAATTACTCCTCTTCTTCCTCTTGGAAAAACAAATTCCTCTAGCCCATCTGGATACCATCCGTTTTTTTGTGATTTTGGCCTTCATCTTCACCTTACTCGCCTTTATCTCATCACAAGATTTTATATCTCGCCTCGTGGACACAAAAATAACGGAAGACATGATCTCCTCAGCATCTAACTTCTTTGCAGGTACGGTGTAAGCCAAAGTGCTATTTCCTGAGGTGATCATCTGAGAAAGATCTAGAAATCACAAACCCTGCGGCTCCCAAAGTGTTTATTTATTAATCAAATTTATATAGCTGCCAATCTCGCCAATAGCATCTCTGGGCAGCGCGTAACAATCGGATAATATAAATGATCAATGTGAAATGTGAAAACAAAAGATATAACGTCTAAAAAAATCCATATTAATTCATCTCATCATCAGGGAGAATAAAGATGGCTGGCTGGGGAATTCTAGGGGGTTGACGTTCTTCCATTTTGAAGTTGCCAAGGTTGAGAAACTCTTGTGCTAGCCCAACTTGTGAATCCAATCTGGACAAGCCATTATTCCTAAAATTTTATTTTGTAATATTATGGAAAACCCTTTTGAAGATCGATTGTTATATGGAGCCTTAACCCCCTCCTTCTCTTTAGGAATCTTCCTGATGAGTCTGCTATTGATTGTCCATTTCCGGCTTAGGACTGTGCTTGATGATCTTAGAGGCCATATCAGAGTCTGGTGGGGTTTCATTGGAAATTGCATCATTTGTGTACATTGTTTTGTGTTAGGTAAGTGCATCGCGTGGGAACTATGAGAAGCTTCATATGCAAATATATTTTATTCTTTATACAAAAAAACATGCCCACTATTTCTTCTTGTAGAAATATAAAAGCTTTTTGGATTAAGATTTGGTGGAACATTCAAAAGATTTTTAGGAGAAAGATAAAGTTTACTCCACAATTATTTTTATTGGGTGTTATTGTAGATTGTGATGCTAAAGAAATTAACTTTTTTTTATTCAAACCGTTTTATTAGAAATTACAAAATAAAATGAACCCATTTATCTTCCCCCCAACCCCCACCCCCTGACTTCCCAGAGCCAAATACAGGGTATTTCAAACGTATTAAACATAATCTAATTAAATTAACAAATATATTAATCATAGGCTAAACAAGTTTAACAATTTATACAATCATTACAATCATACTTAAAACTTAACTCCCTTTAAACCTTAATAACATATCATAAACAAATCCATTTATAATCCATTATTATATAATAAAAGAAAATTTTAATTTAAATATTATTAATAATACTTATTATTTAATCATAAAATAAGTGAAATTTTTCAGTTCCATGTTTAATCTTAATATAAGAAATAAAGAAATAAAGAAATTGATGTTGAATTTGATAACAGCTGCAAAGTTATTGGTAGGGCAATATTGGAAGAAGGATTGTTTGCCTACTATAGAAGAATGGACGCTTAAAGTGTCAAATTTAGCAGAAATGGCGAAATTTCTGCTTACTTGAAGGATCATTCACAAGAAAGATACATTTCGTTCTGGAGAAGATGGATAGATTATATTCAGAATAAATATGGGACTAAAAAGTTCCATCTAGTTTATGAGTAAATTTTAGAGTATTATTATTATTAATAGTTTATAATAGTAGAAATTTTATTAGTTTTATTATTATTTTTAGTATTAGTATTGTTTAACAATTTGGATATTGTATTGTTTAATAATATCAACTTGTTTATATTATTATATTTATTTTTAATTTGTTTATACCTGTGTTAAAGGGGAGTTAAAACGCATTATGGACTTGGTTATTTATATTTATTTATTTATTTATTTATTTATGAGACTTATATACCGCTTTAAGTGCAAGCACTCTCTAAGCGGTGTACACCAGCAAGCAATGTATATATATATTTACATTGCCCCCAACAATCTGGGTCCTCATTTTACCTTCCCCGGAAAGATGGAAGGCTGAGTCAACCTTGAGCTGGTGAGATTTGAACCGCTGACCTGCTGAACAGTCAGCTAAAGTGGCCTGCAGTACTGCACTCTAACTGCTGCGCCACCTCGGCTAGTTAGTTGGTTAATGTTAGTTAGAGTTTGATTATTATATTTGTAACCCTGTACTCAGCTCTGGGAAGTGGGGGAGGGAGAGGGGGGGTTTAGGGTGGGTGGGTTTTGGGCTGTATACTGTAATTTTTTTTATAAAACTTTTCAATAAAAAAAAAACATGCCCACTAAAGGGAGTCTTCCCTTTCCTGGCATGAGGGGAAGAGAAGCAGGAGAAACTCAACCAATTGGAGGGTGTAATTAACTGCAATTCAAACAGACGTTATTATTGGGGCCAAAGTCAATAAAGATGTTGAAATAATAATAATAAAAGGACTTAGTAACCTGGCTTCATTGTCACCGATTTAGACACAGGAATCAACAGTGTGGGAAAACCTCTAGTCGTGAAAGCTGCATCTTATCTTCCAGACTCGTGAGCAAAATGCAGTTTTCTGGAAATACCTGGGGATTTCATTACAAAATGCAGGATTCTATCATTCTTCAGTTTGACATAGCAGGATTCTCCTTAGCCAATGACTGACTTGCCTCTTATGACTTTTAAAACATAACCCATCCATGCATTATTTAGGAGTTACTTGACTGGACGTCAGGGTCATGTCAGAGTCACAATCTAAGTGGAACAATTGAAATGACTTAAATATGCATGCAGGCACACAACTCCCTCCCCCCCACACACACTTAAGAGTTTCTAATTGCACCACAATCTCACAAATTAGGATTTTAATCCTGTATAAATCTTATGCATGTCTGACCATGTTTTCTTCTTATTCACCCTCTCTACCTGCTTAGGCACACTCAGTCTACTGAGATATAAAAGTCTCGTGCTGAAACGTTTAAAAAGAGAGTCCTCCAGAAGAATATTGAGCATGGACAGGGTAAAAGGAAGGACAAGCATTCAGCTAACAATACCTCGGAATTGAACAATTCCATAAATAGTGGTTCAGCATTCCAAAATGCAGACCCCTCCTCATTTTCCCCACCAATTTCTTTGCCACCCTAGTTTCTTTGGTGCATTATTAAAAATAAATGTTTGTTTCTTGACAAAACTTCAGATCCTTCACAACTGGATCTGAAGGTGCAAGTGACTACTTTATTTACAGGCGATGGAAAACTCTGAATAATTTAAGCACTTTTTTTTTAAATAAGCCACAATGGCAGGGTGGGTCTGTGTTCTGAAGCCATGAACGATCATGTACAAACCACAGGATGCTTTGCAAAGGCCAAACAAGCCCCATTTGAATGTAATGGAGATGAAGGAAAGTTCCTTTCCATTTAAGCCCACTCAGCATGTTTTTGCATCTTCAAACTTTGGTTTCTGTAATCAGGAGTGGTTTGGTATCCACTGATCTTCACATTTCTTTTCTTTTTTTTAAAGAAAAAAAAAACAAGAACAAACAAAATGCGTGCTCAGCTTTACGGATGCTTAACTTCACATTATTTAATCCTTTCCTTTTGAGAAAAAGCAAGAAGAAGGAGAGCAAGGCTTCTGATGAATAATGGTACCATGTATGGATTGTAAGGAGAACCACTCAGTCCTGCAAGAAATAAAGGCTGTTTTCTCCCTTGAGATAATGACTTGCAACACATAAAGTGGGCTTGTGGTACAAATGAATGGTGGACAGGAAAGCCAATTATACTTGGCTAGTTTGAAGAAGGGGGAGAAGGTGAATGGAATCAGATAAGGTGGGTGGTTGGAGATTATTGACACGTCCTTCGAAGAGGACATAAGTTTGTTGAAGGCAGGACAAGACAGGACATTTACAGTACCTATGAAATTACCAGGAATCAAGTTTGACTTGATGGCTATTAACTTGCCAGATCAAAAGTTTGGCAAAGGGTGTAATAATAATAACAACAACAACAACAACAACAACAATAATAATAATCGATAAGAAAGACAAAAAAGTCTGGATAGTGGATGTGGCAGTGCCTGGAGACAGCAGAATAGACCAGAAAAAAATGGAGAAGATCGCAAAATACAAAGACCTACAAATAGAAATAGAAAGACTGTGGCAAAAGCAAGCAAGGGTAGTACCAATAGTCATAGGTGCATTGGGTGCAATCCCAAAACAACTAGAGCACCACTTGAACACCATTGTCATTGACAAATTCGCTATTAGTCAATTGCAAAAGGTGGCCTTACTAGGAACTGCTTCCATCCTGCGACGATATCTGTAATACCATCAAACATCCACATCTGCCTATCCCAGGTCCTGGGTAAGGACTCAATAGGTAGACAAAATGTCAAATCCAGTCTGAACATCTGGCTCACTGTGCGATGATCCACAACAACAACAACAACAACAATAATTGATAAGAAAGACAAAAAAGTCTGGATAGTGGACGTGGCAGTGCCTGGAGACAGCCGAATAGACGAGAAAGAACTGAAGATCACAAAATACAAAGACCTACAAATAGAAATAGAAAGACTGTGGCAAAGGCAAGCAAGGGTGGTACCAATAGTAATAGGTGCCTTAGGTGCAATCCCCAAAAACTGGAGCACCACTTGAACACCATTGGCATTGACAAATTCGCCATTAGTCAATTGCAAACGACGGCCTTATTAGGAACTGCTTCCATCCTGCGATGATATCTGTAATACCATCAAACATCCACATCTGCCTATCCCAGGTCCTTGGTAAGGGCTCGATAGGTAGACAAAATGCCAGATCCAGTCTGAACATCTGGCTGATTGTACGATGATCCATAATAATAATAATACCAGCATGGCTGGCTCAGGAATTCTGGGAGTTGAAGTCCACAAGTCATAAAAGAGCCAAGGTTGCCTACCGCTGTTCTAGCCAATGCAGGAATCCAAATTAAATCATCCCTGATAGATGGTGTCCAGTTGGACACACAACCAACAATCAGAAGACATCCATTCTAAAAGTCATTGATTCAATTGCTTATGTTAGGTTGGTTTTCCTAACATTCAACTGGAATTTGCATCAGTCTAGTTGTGAATAAATTTACTGCAACTACTGTTTGCTGGTTGTTTTAGAAGTCAAGATATTGCAGAATGAAATGGCCAAGTTTGGTATTTCTTTTCACAAATATACTTACTTCAAGGGGGCCCAACTTACTTGTACTGTATTGCATTTACACTCACAATCTGCCATAAAAACAGAATTGAGAGCCCTAAATATATTTGTTAGATCTACAAAACCACATCAATTTAGGCTAGATCTTTTTTTCCAATCTTGTGCTACGGATTCTAGTTTATATTTAGTACATAACTCGTGAATTTTTCTGTAGCAGCTCATTCAATTAAATAAAATAATTTGTTACAGACTTATTTTCAATGGAAAAGACACTTTCAGAAAAATTCTCATGACTGGAAGGTGGTGATTATGCATTTTTTTTCTCGTGACAAGGTGCCCGAGGAGTGGCATCTGTTTCTCATGGTGGAAACATTTCTCTTTCAATCCCTTTCTTCCCTGGCTTCTTAGATCAGGGCTTTGCAACCAGTGGTACGGGTATCACCTGTGGTACCTTGGCACCTCGCAGGTGGTATGCGACCATCCTAGAAAAGTGGTAGCGGGGGAGGGGAATGAACTGAACCGATGGCAGCACCGCAGAAGCCTGAGTGAGAGATGGCTGGAGCTGCAGGGTTCTCAGGGCTCAGTGGAAGTGCCAGAATCAGTGCCAGGCTCCAGCAAACCATCTCAGCTGGCATACAGCAGGGCTTTTCAACCAGTGGTACGGGTACCACCTGTGGTACATTGGCACCTGGCAGGTGGTACGCGACCATCCTAGAAAAGTGGTAGCGGGGGACGGGAATGAGCTGAACTGGTGGCAGCACCACACAAGCCTGAGCGAGAGATGGCTGGAGCTGCAGGGCTGTCAGGGCTCAGCGGAAGCGCCAGGATCAGTGCTTCTTTGAGACTGTCAGGGCTCAGTGGAAGTGCCAGGATCAGCGCCAGGCTCCAGCTGGAGCTCAGCGCTAATCCTGGCGCTTCCGCTGAGCCCTGAAGAAGCACCAATCAGCTGGAATGTTGCAGCATCTCCAGGGTCTTGTGATATACATTCAGCTGCTTGGCAACTGATTCATATTTATGATGGTCACAGTGTCCCATGATTATGTGAAGTGACCAAAACCTGCTGCGACCACCCAGAAGACAGGGGAAATAAAAATCAAATACACCCCCACCACACCCCTGCTGCCAATCCCCAACAAAAATGCTCACAACAATGAAAACCTCGGACAGGAGGAAGAGCTCCACCAGGTGAGCAGGCAGGTATCTTGCTCGGCTGTGGCTTGGGGGGCGCTTTTTTCAATGCCATTGTAACTTTGAACAGTCACTAAGCGAACTGTTGTAAATCGAGGACTACCTGTACTTTATCACTCCCCCCCCCTTTTTTTTGGGTCATCAAGTTTTTGACACCTTGCTAGGTGACTGGTGGTACTCGGATGTTGCCATAACCTAAAAATGGTACAATGGGTGAAAAGGTTGAAAAGCCATGTCTTAGATGGCCATTAAATCAGACTTCTCCAAGGAGGCTTTTTCAGTAGCGAATCTACTATTGTTACATTCTCCTAACACTGAGAATAATTGAAAACAATACTCACTGCTAACAGTGAGAAGAATGAACCAGTGGAACGGCTTGCCTTCAGAGGTTGTGGGTGCTCCATCACTGGAGGTCTTTAAGAAGAGACTGGACAGCCACCTGTCTAAAAGGGTATAGGGTCTCCTGCTTGAGCAAGGGTTTGGTCTAGAAGACCTCCAAAGCCCTTTTCAGCTCTACTCTGATTGATTGATATTGGAAGGGGAGCCCTACCCTTCTGAAATCAGTGCACTATTTCTCCTGTTTCTGCAGAAATTTAGAGAAACTGTTTCCAGTTTTCTGTCCCCCAATGTCTTTTGAGCCAAGCTCTACCTGAAAGTTGGCTTCCTTGCTTGCACTGGAACCAGGGGCTTCTAAGTCCAAGCAAGAAGAGATAGTAGTAGTGGTGATGCTGTGTCTGCCTGTTTGTCTGTATAGAACCTGTGAGGTCACTGCAAGTCTCACAAAGGTAAGCATAGAAATCTCATAAGGTTGTAACTGCCTAGCTGACCAGAGCGTTAAAAAGGAGGCTGGGTGATAACAATTATTATTTGATGCTGAGAGTCAGATATAATGCCAGAAGACATAACGGTAAGTAAAATGGGTTTTCTAAGTCACAATAGCCTACGGCTGTTATTATTACTATTACTGTTTATTTCTATTTAGTAATATCATAGCACTTAGACTTAGATATCGCTTCACAGTGCTTTATGGCACTCTCTAAGCCACTGATGGCGAACCTTTTAGAGACCAAGTGCCCCAAAACTGCCCTCGCCCTGCCCCACACACTCCACCCCCACCCCCACCCCATCCCTGCCCCACCTCCACCCTGCCCGCCTACAGGGCCACCCATTGGTTCCACTGCCCGCTGCAGATCCCCCAAGTGGCCCAGCAGCACCAGGGTAGCCATGCCCTCCGCCTGTGCCCCACAGCATCAACTGCATGCGCTGGGGCGCAAGGGCAGAGTCTTGTCCCTGCTGCCCAGCTGCCATGTCCTTGGCTGCACTGCTTCTCGCAGGCTGTGCTGGGGGTGACTCTCCTCCTGGGGGCTGCTGGTGAGGAAGGGGCTGCGGGAGGAGGTGGGGCTGGGGTAATGGCACACATGACCACAGAGAGGGCTCTGAGTGCCACCTCTGGCACGTGAGCCATAGGCTCACCACCACTGCTCTAAGCAGTTTACAGAATCAACATATTGCCCTCAACAATCCGGGTCCTCATTTTACCAACCTTGGAAGGAGGGAAGGCTGAGTCAACCTTGAGCCAGTCATGATCGAACGCCTAATAGTGAGCTGAGTTAGCCTGCATTATTTCATTCTAACCAATAATCCAAATGAAAGGAAGCTAAGATACATGTTGAGGAGGGAAAGGAAGAAGGAGGAGAATGAGTTCCTGACAAGATTAGCTGGCTAAAGCACAAAAGCTTCATTTCACAAATTCA